TCTTTTGGTATGACGCGGCCGGGGTTCGAACCCACGACCTCCCGGTTGTGAGGCGGACGCTCTACTGACTGAGCCAACACTCCGGTAAATGAACTACTTGATCGTGATCATGATTGTCATGATGACGATAATGATAATCATGATGATGATCATGGTCATGATGATGATGATGATGATGATAATGGTAATGAAGATGACGATGATGATGATTATGGTGATCATGATGATCATGATGATCATGATGATCATGATGATGTTGATGGAATGATTATCATCATAATGACAATGATGATGATCATGAGCGTGATCTTGGAAGTATTGGAAGAATGAGGGGTGATTTAGATAACATATAGTCTCAGCTACAACATACTCGAAAATCAACATAATCCAAGCAGAAATAATGTCGATATATTGCTCGCAAAAGACAGGAATGTTGAATCCAGTTTTGAGAAAAAGTCATGTCCCATAGAGAATACACGCAAAATGTAAAAAATTTACATGCCTCCTTTAATCGCAAAAATACGCCATGATTCCTTTGTCAAAATGAAATATCGTGGCTACTACATTTGTAGAGAATTATCACAGCTAAAACATATCAAAATTTGGAAAAAAATCGATCAATATTTACAGAGATATAATCGATTTTCCAAAAATATGCTGACGTCATAATATGTAAATTGAAATTTTGAGTTCGGAGGCCATTACGATGACGTCATGAGTTAATTGAGGGTCAAATGAGACATGAAATCATATCTCCAATTCATACTCTATCAAAATATGAAAACAAAATTGGGATCACCTTGCATCCTTAAGCGCTACAATGGATTTTGTATAGGCATGTTTTTGCCCATGTATGCTATGTATTACAAGAGCTCGCACGCACGGAAATTATCTTAAACGGACGCTCATTCCGTTATTAATGGGCAGAAAAAGGTGAAAAAGGTATCAAAATGCTTGGGAAAATGTGCCAAATACGATGACAGAGAAAATTTGGCGATTCTACGTTGAAAAATACCAGTACGCGCGAAAACGCGCGCGCATGTGCGTGCGCGCGTTTTTTTGCAAAATGCTTAGAATGGCCTGAAACGTATGCAAAATGAATTTAGGACGATTTTGAGCATTTTTATTTTTTGCGCGCGCGCTGACGCGCGGACGTACGCATGCGCGTGCGTTTTCTGACTTGAAATTGACCGGACGGATATTGGCCTTAATCATGATAAATATGAATGAGAAATGCCTTTTCGTTATGAAGATATGATCATGAGTAAAAAGTACCAAAAAAAACACAAAATGGCGCCTGGATGACGTCATGAAGACTTGATGACCTTGAAAATGTTACACTAACGTCTCATGACAATGACCTATGACTGTGCCAAAATTGAACGAAATTGATTAAACCTATCTTGAGTTATCCTGTTCACAAAAAAGTGGGAACAATAAATAAAAATAAAGAATAATAAATAATAACTAGACATATAATACTTGTTTGGAACAAGTATAGGTGGGCTGGTCAACTAAAATTTGAGACAAAATAGAGCAAAAATAAGCGACATACTGCTTACAAATTCTTAACAAACAATATCATGTAGATTCATAACGTGAACTAAATTCACCTTCTATAGGCATAACACGCAAATTATGAAGTTTTTGACATGAGGCCTTTAATCACAATTTTCACTATGATGACGTCATCAAAATGAAAAATAGTTATCACTGCGCTTGTAGAGAATTGTCTTAGCTACAACATATCGAAATTTTGAAGAAAATTGATCAATATTTACAGAGATACAATCAATTTTACATAAATATGCTGACGTCATAATATGCAAATTCGTATTTTGAGTTCACAGGGCATTGTGATGATGTCACGATACACTTAATGGCCGAATGAGACATGGAATCATATTTCCGACTCATACTCTATCTAAATATGAAAAAAAATTGAGGATCCCGGTGCATTCCAAAGAGCTATAACGGATTTTGTATAGGCATGTTTTTGCCCATATATGCTATGTATGAAAAGAGCTCGCGCGCACTGACATTTATCTTGAATTTACGCTCATCTTGTTAATAATGGTCATAAAGAGATAAACATGGTATCAAATTCCTTGAAAAAATATGAGAAATATCATGAAAGAAAAAAAAATGGCGATTCTGTGTTTTTTAATGGTGTTACGCGCGAAAACGCGCGCTCATGCTCGTACGCGCGATTTTTTATAAAATGCTTAAAATGACCCGAAACGTATGCAAAATAAATTTAGAAAGGTTTTGAGCATTTAAAAATTTTGCGCGCGCACTGACGCGCGGACGTACGCGCATGTGCGCGTTTTTTGACCTGAAATTGACTGGACTGATATTGACCTTGATCATAATAAATATGAATGAGAAATACCTCTTGGTTATGAAGATATGAACATGAGTTTATTTTCAGAAAATTTCACAAAATGGCGCCTAGATGACGTCATCAGTCAAGGTCAAGGTTGAAAACCTTACCGTGTCTTGTCCATATGCCTATACATATGTGTGTCAAATCTCAAGGCATTTGATTGAGTCATTTTTAAGTAATCTTGTTAACAAAAAAGTGGGTAGAATTAAGAAAAATAAATAATAAAGAAAGGCGATTTTAACAAAAATATAAGGTGGTCTGTATTAGATACAGCCCACCTGATAAATAAAAATAATAATAAAGAAAGAAAATTCTGACGAAAACAATAGGTGGTCTGTTGATAACAGACCACCTAATAATTAACGTTACGTGAGTCATTGGAGTTGAATTCAAAGTAGATCTTCTTCAAGTTCTAGGTAGATGTAGAAACTAGCTAGTCGAAAACAGTGGTCGACGAGCTGGTTGTCGATCGCGTAGGATATGCAGACGATGATCGACGCTAGGTGAATACCACGATGATGAAGACGGTGTTGAAGACAACGATGATGACAACAATGATGAAGACGACGCTGGTGAAGACAGCGATGATGAAGTCGACGATGAAGACGACGCTGGTGAAGACAGCGATGATGAAGACAACGGTGATGAAGACAACGATGATGAATCAGTTAACAGATGAATACAATGATGATGCAGTCAATGTCAATAGATCAACTTCAGTGACTTGCGATGCAGGTCGAAGAATCAAATGTCGAGACAATATATATGAAGTCGATGATAAAAGGTTGTCAAACAATAATGCAGGTGAGAAAAACGTTAGATCATATTAAATGTTCTATTCTCACTGCTGGTGAATTAAAGTGTCGTCAATGTTGAACATCGAGAGAGTCAAAATATATCTTGCAAAACGTACAAGATGTAAATAGGTGAGCACGTCCACCGGGAATGGTCCGGGGACGTAGCAGTTCAATCCTCGTTGGATACAATTTTCTAGGTACAAAAATCAACACAATAACAGCATGTGTGTATACCAATATTAAAACAGCTCACTGATTCCCGCACAGGAAAATCAGAAGAGCGCCAATCAACTACAGCGCGATTGGTTCAAAACACGCGCACATGTATGTTAATTAAGCACGTGATCTAAATACTTATGAATAAATACGCGTACATCTATGTTAATTGGTCATGTGATGAAAATACTAATGAATAAACATCGTTATATAATAAATCGAGTTAAAACCAGTTCTGAGGACATGGCGTAATACCAAATCCTCGAACTCTCAATGACTTCTAAAGCGGCCATTTTGGATTAAAAACACAATATGTATACCAGTGAATTATAAATGAATGCACTGTAACATTTGTCGCTACAATGGTTTAGCTTTGCGCATGTGTGGTTAAAAAAATGTTGAAACTTTCGGCAGGGATACTGAATATCCGATATAATAGACATTTTTTTTTTTTAGTTTCTATTTTTGGGGTTCAGCGTGAGAATTCCTATGATCAGCGTGAGAGTTTGAGAATTGGGTGAATTGCGTGAGAGTTGGCAGCCCTGGTATCCCTTTCCTCTTAAAGCCCCTCTAAACTGTTGGGAGGAAAACTTCACTTAAATTGTATCATAATGTTAAAGAGGATGTCATTTAAGACACATTTCTGCAAGGATTTTAAAAACAAATGTGTTTGAGGTTGAATATTGATGAAAGAATACAACATTTAGGTTTTCTGCGTACAACAGAAAACCCCAAACCCAAATTACCATTAATCTCTGTGTATAAGACGCACCCCTAATTTGGGGGCCGGACTTATTATTATTCTTTATTTTTTTTGCCGACTCCGTAGGCAACAAGCCAGGGGAGGATTTCACTAACATTGCCGAGCGATTAATCGCCCAACCCATCGTTCGAACTCTACTCATCGCTGCTGCGTTGAGTAGAGTCAGAGGATTTCACTAAACCCGTCGCAGCAGCGATGCATTTTTAATGAGTAAAGTCTTCGTGAACGAGGATGAGGTCAATCGCATCGCTATACTAGCGTCCTTTTGCCCGCCAGTTTTAACTGCAACAACTTGATACTTCACCAACAAAAGTTGAAAATGGATTCAAGCAACATGCATGATGCCAGTGACGTAAGTTAATTTAGAATTACAAGTTTCGTTGCTATTAGATTGTGGTTTTTCAAAACTATTCATCAACACAGGAGTTTACGATTTTGTTTTTGTTATGGCTCATCGCCAAGTTTTCGTGGTGGGTTTGCTGCGCCTGTGCATAGTCTATGAACGTGCGCGGCGAATACATTGCTATCTACATTAGATGTTAAGATGGCACACACTGTTTCAAAACCCGGTCACTATTTTTGTTGGATATTTGAGTAAAAAATGTAATCAGAATAATACTTTTCAAAGTTCAAGACTCACCGATGTTTCTATCAAAAGATACAGCCCCTCAAAAACTTAACAATATTCATAGCATTTTTGTCAGAATAGACAAAAAAAAGTGGTTCACGCCAGCCCAAGACAATTAAGTTAAGGTCTAACAGTAACACTAACAGTTTAATTAGGTCTAGATCTAACTTTACTTAGTCTAGGGAATCTATCATTTTTTTTTTTGCAATGTCTCTGGATATAGCAGATTTCAAGTAAAGCATCTGGCAACCAGTTGGGCTCGTGCTGCATATCCCTCATTGTTGACAGGGCCATCAAAGTCATCAACACCAACATCAGGAAGCTCATGGTCTCGTCCAAGATAGGGTTCTTTCCAGTCCTTTGATAACCGGTACAACACGGTGCACGCAATGATGATCTGGCATGCCTTCTTTGGTTTTACTCTTAGGCCTCTTCTCAGACAAGGGAATTTCTTCTTGATCTGTCCATTAGTCTGTTCAACAACTACTCGTCCTCTCATGTGAGCCCTGTATTGCAAAAATTGAAAAAATAACCAATAATTATATTTGTATATCAGATAGTCTACACTATAAAATAATTTCCCATAATTGACATAATATTTTTTTAATAGATTGTTGATATTTATGTGGCAGCACTGCAGGATCTCTTCCATTTGAATTTAATATGCCATAATTTTTCAGAAAACTCTACATTGTAACATATTACATCAATCAAAACAAGTCGTTGATGGAGGACGGCAATGCAATTACATTAATCTATTTTTTTTTAATGAAGAAGATGTACTGCATAACACTGCAGTATAGCAGTGGTAATAATTAAGCAGGTCAAGGGTCATATACATGTAATATGAATCACATTGTATAAATCAAAAATAATCTTATACATGAACATAGACCTACAAACATGTATAACATATGGCTGTAGGACAAGCGACCCCTGACAACTCCCCCCCCCCCCCGCCAATTGCCAGCGTGACAATTACCCCCTATAAAATTAAACCCCCCTCCCACCAGTAACGCCACTTCCCAAGGACAATTGCCCCCTATAAAATGAAAAAAATCCCCCTACCCAGGAAAATCACTTCCCAAGGACAATACCCCCCCCCCCCCCCAGAGGAAAATTACCCCCTATGAAATGAAGAAAAAAAAACCTACCCAGGAAAACCACTTCCCAAGGACAATTACCCTCCCCCCAGAGGAAAATTACCCTCTATGAAATGAAAAAAGAGGACAATTACCCCACAAAAAGTTTGCTTTTATCAAAACGAAATAATCCCTTAAAAAAAGTACCATGGTAACCATGATTTTTTTTTAATGGTTATCATGGTACAAAAACAATAAAATACATGGTGGATGGTAATTTGGTAAAAAAAAAACGTGGTTACCATGGTACTTTTTTTGAAGGGATTATCAGGGTAGGCTTCCCCTTTCATGAACAAGGGGGGGGGGGGGAATAGATTTTGGGAGGGGATGGGTAATTTTTCAGCGAGGGGAATTTGACTTTGTGTTGATTTTCCAGGGGGGGGGGTGTGGTTTCCTTGATTTGATTTGATTTGGTTTCTGCATCTTTTTTTCTTTTTTTCATCATACATTTTCATGAACATAATATGGTTTGATATACAGATAATAAACGAAATTAAAAAAATATATTGAATGCATTATTAAGTAAATTAGATGCAAGAGGGCTACAGAAATAAGCTAAGTAGCTTGACGGGGGGGGGGGGGGGGGTCCTGGGGATTGTCCAGAGGGTAATAGGGTCTACGGTATATATATGTATTTTTTTTAAATTCCAACGGTTAAAGTATTATGATGTAGACCTAATTCAATTTAGTAAAATAGATTTACCTATTGTAGGTACGTTCAGCATGTGTTTGGGGGTTGCGGAAAGGGGTCATGAGCCATGATCGTTGGGGGTAGCCCGAGTCACCGAGGAGAACTCCCTCCAATTCTCCACGCTGGAAATCCTGCCCAACATAGGAATTCTCCAATACTCTGCAGTCATGGACAGACCCTGGCCAGCGTGCACAGACATTGATTATGTTGTAATTTGCATCGGTGACAAATTGCACATTGATGCTATGCCACCCCTTCCTATTGACGTACGCATATTCGGTTGTCTTTAGTGGACTGCCGTCAAGCCATACATGAGTACAGTCGATGGCTCCGACGACCATCGGGAAGCCACTCAACTCCAAAAATTCCATTTGCTTCTCACCCGCCGGCCTCCATGTTACTACCTGTTCTTTCAAACTAGCAAGCACCTTTGTCACACGATTGATTATTCTACAAACAGTTGAAATTGAAACACCATGATCTTTCAGTACACTGGAATAAAAATCTGAGGTTGCGTAAAAGTTTAAAGCAACGAAAATCTGCAACCTCGCATCAATAGAATGACTCCTCTGAGTCAACGGCGCAATTCTGTCCTCCAACAAGTCAATAACTCTCATCACACCCTGTCGCGTAAACCTATAATATTTGTGCATCTTTTTATCGTTTAATGTATCCAATGGATTAGTCCTATCCCTAAAAACACGCTCTCTATTAAGTGCTCTCGCGTTATTTATGTAAAGAAGGCGAGCCATGATTAAAATACCTTGCAAAACAACCGAAATCCTCCATACACCGTACCGGTGTACAAAAACTTATAAAAGTTTTCGCGCCAGTATTTGACCTTGAGACAGGAAGTTACGTTTTTGAACTCATCGCAGCTCTGCGAGCACCCTTTGAGCATCCGCTAAGCTGCGATGAGTTAGCGACGGGTTAACCCGTCGCAGGCGCTTAGTGAAATCCATAAGCAACTCATCGTCCATGTGCGATGGGTTCGGTGAGGTTGCGATGGGTTCAAGCCCCTGCGCAGGGTTAGCGATGCATTGCGCGCCTTAGTGAAATCCTCCCCAGGTCCATGTTAAAAAATCTACACAGGAAGGACCTTTATTTTATTGCGAGGCGCAGTTGAAGGCGCCAATTTGGGCTTGTGAACTTGTCACAAATAATAGTACCCGGTAACAATGTCGTTTTTAAAACTAAAGGTGACAGACAAATTTTCCTTTAAGTCCAAACAGAAATCCCGCCATACAGGTAGTGTTCTAGTTTCCGAATGGTGAGTCAACACACCGTGTATGACTGAGCTGGGAGACATTGCCAGGCACAGTGCATAAATCAAAACTTTAAGAAAAATATATCTAAAAAAAAAATTGTACCTGTGTATCAGACGCACCCCCGACTTTCAATTTTTTTTTTGGCGGAAAAAAGGTCGTCTTATACACAGAGATTTACGGTATGTAATCTTTTATCAATATTTGTCTTCAAACACATTTTTTTTTTTGTGGAAATCTCAGCAGAAGTGTGTAAATAACATCCTCTTTAACATACAAGCAGGGCTCAAATTAATTTTTTGTCCACGGGGGCTCTTATTTTAAAACAAATTTCCATTGAGTTGGTACCCATGAAACTCGTTGGTATTTTATCATTATCATTTACTTAAGGCGGCATTTTCCCTCTTAGAAATTTACTTGTTACATTGCTGTTATTGACTTTTATCCCTGTGATGACATTCTCTCCATTGCTTCCCGTTCTGCACATAATTTTCCTTTTACTTTTAGTCTTTACCATATCCTTTCAAAACACAGGGCCGGATCTAGCTTTTAGCTAAGGATGGGGGGGGGGGGGGGGGGTAACCCAAATACGATGTGGAGCATCGTCCACGAGCCGCATAGCGGCGAGGCGATTTTTTGGTGTTGCTATTTTGAACCCCCGTAAGTGATGTTTTCCTGGCATCTACTAACCTGCGGAGCATCGTCCACGAGCCGCGAAGCGATTTTTTGAACCCCCGTTAGTGATGTTTTCTTGGTATCTACTAATACTGTGTAGGTCTAGACACATGATAGCATTTTTCTATGCACATCACATTTTCACTTGGCAGCCCAAGGGGGAGGGGAAGGGGGGGGGGGGGTAAACCCCCTTAACCGACTAGATCCTCCCCTGCAACATCTTTGGTCTTCGTCTTCTTCTCAATGGTCGAGTTACATTATTTGCTGGTCCTACAGAATCACCAGATTTCAGAGGATTCACACTTTTCACAACAAAAATCTTCTCCATGTTTCATTTCTTGTGCGATCGTCTCCAGCTCCAGCAGATATTGGGCGTCAGCGTGCACACGGGTACTACCGGCGCAGTATAGCCACTGATGACGGCCGCACTAGCTGCACTGCGAGCTTCTGTTGTTTGTATTGGTAATTCTCATAGAGATAGGAGAGAAAGCGCCATCTAAGTTCCATTTAATTGGTTTAAGGTTCGAAAATTGATACTCAATATTGTGTTAAAGTTATATCAGAAAAGATAATCTTTATTTTATAATTCCACAGGGGCGATTTTTAATTTTGCAATCGCCCCCGTGAGCAACCTGATGGGGGCGATTATGGAGCTCACAGGGGCGAATCGCCCATCGCCCCCGTGTATTTTGAGCGCTGGATACAAGTTAATTGAAATTTTGCCATCAAATTTATGGGGAATTTGGGGCTCACACTTAACCCTATCTAGCCTGGGCTATTTTGAAACTGCATAGCCTGGGGGGGGGGGGGGCAACTATTTTAACCCCCAAAATGAACACCTAAACTATAAACAAGACAAGATTTATAACCAAAGTTTATCTCTTTTTTGGAAAAATGAGATTTCCTTATGTTTTGTACACAACTAACGACAATGAGCGATTTTTGGGCTGACATGCAAAGACAAAAAGTCATGTGACTTTGAAACGGTAGGTCCGATTTTTGAAAAATTTGTTTCAAAAGACCTGAAAGGAAAAAGTAATAATTTAAGCGCAAGATTTTTTTTTGCCCCTAAAAATTATCGTGAAAAATGTATGATGGGCTAGATAGGGTTAAGGGGGGCTTTAAAGTTCATTACCTTACTGCGAATGCTCTGCGAATGCTCTGAAGTTCCCCTCTGTTTTATTCATTGATTTATGTGGTCATTGCAGGAGAATCCAAATATGACCAAGTACCGTGTATCCAGTGCGTTGATGACTCCACCAGAAACCATAAGACAGAGGAACATACCTACAGTCAAAGCAAAGAAAGACCATGGTTTGTATAAACTTTGTAGCCATTTGCATTGCAATAGAGGTAGTAAGGTTGTGAAACCTGTGTGTAAAGGCCATTCTGGGATACAAGAAAAGAGTCCTTTGAAGGGAGATGGTCTGATCATGTACACATTTTAATGAGTAACAGTAATGAGTAATGAGTCCAGAACATTTTTTTCAAGAGACCAGGACAGCGTCTCACGAAACCGTCATAAGTACAAGTTCACCGACATCTAATTGAAATGCGTGTATTAAGTTTAACACAAGTTTCAATGGGATGTCGGTGAACTTGTACTTATGACGGTTTCATGAAACGCTGCCCTGAGTACCAATTCACTCGTGCATGACATCCGTTTAAACTGTTTGATACTCATCGCAAGCTTAATGTCAGAGGCTGTTTCTTCAGTAAACCTGTTATCAAGCTATATGGAATAAACTGCCAGAATCTCTAGTCACTGCACGTAACATAGGTATTTTTAAGACTGGTCTAGATAAACACTGGCTAGCTCAGTTTTATGTAACCTAGACATCCACGCATTCTGCACTACGTTATAAAATCGCAAACTGACAATTTAACTTATATCTTGGAAAGACCGGGAGATCTACAGGACTACCCCATTCCCGTATATTGATGATGATGGCATTGTTTTATTATAATTAAATAAACTCTATTCCTACTTTCACGACAAAATTGTGAAGAAGGAAATCAGTGTGATTCTTTTTTTCTTTTTTTTAAAGCATGAAATGATTCAAGCTAATACAAACTAGAAATCCATGTTATAAGAAAACAAATAACCTCTGCAACAGATAAAGTCCATTTTAATTATTTTTAGTTACAACAGTTGGTCTTAATAAATCTAAAGCCTAATATATACCTGAAATTTACACCTTTTTATTTATCTTAATAAAATAGACACATTCCTAAACAGAAAACAGACCAACCCTTCAGGAAGAGAAAGCGATACTCCTGTATTAATGGTGAGCCTCGCCGAGGAAGGTACCTCCAGCGATCCAGGGAGCAGCGTGAAGAGAAAGCTGGAACTAGAATCACCGAAGGAGCCTGAGCAACTGCAGATACCGAAAAAGAGAAAGGTATTTGTACAAATTTGATAAGAAAAAAAAATGATTTCACAGTCTCTCAAGATTGGCCTTCAAGTTGTAAATCTACCATTGGTTACTTTTTTTTAACCTTTATTATGCAGTAGATTTTTTTTCTCTCTCTCTTTCTCTTCAAATGGAGGAATTTCCAAAGGCTTAGTGAATATACAGTGTGATAGTCAAAAATAAGTTTACACCTAGAAAATAGCTAATTATTTTTAAAAATCATCTATGAACAGTAATTTATTTATATTATGAAATGTGTGTGTTCTTTTGGCTGAGCTAGCAGTAAATATCTTTTCTGTGTACTATCTTCGATTTTTATGCCTCCGTTACGAAGTATCCGGAGGCATTATGTTTTCGGGTTGTCCGTCCGTCCGTCCGTTCGTACGTCCCGTTCTCGTGATCGTGTTATCTGAAGAACCGATTGATGGATTCCTGCCAAACTTTGGTCATGTATGTATCTTGGAGAGCCGATGAACCGATTAGATTCGGGGGTCACGAGGTCAAAGGTCAAAGGTCACAGGGCTCATTATGTATGCAAAAACAGCTCGTGATCGCGTTATCTGAAGAACCGATTGATGGATTCCTGCCAAACTTAGGTCATGTATGTTACTTGCAAAGCCAATGAACTGAGTAGATTCTTGGGTCATGAGGTCAAAGGTCATGGGCTCATTATGTATGCAAAAATAGCTTGTGAACGCATTCTCATTACAACTGACTGATGGATTACTATTTAACTCAGGACATCTTGCAGAGCCAATGAACTGAGTAGATTTTAGGGTCATGAGGTTAAAGATCAAAGGGTCATATATGTATTTGAGAAATTGCTTGTAATCATGATATTCTAAGAACCTGTTAATGGATTACAATTGAACTTGAATTTTAAAAATTTCTTCTGTTTTGGTTTGTAAAATTGCTCCATGACGGAGGAATCATTTTCGACTGTGCGCAGTCGAAGTTCCATCTTGTTTTTTTGGAGTTAGGTTTTAATTCCCTGAAATATATTTCCCTTACAGTGTTAAGAGCAATGCAATATACATGCCTTCAGGATCCAGACAATGCATGTAAAATTTAGCACAACATTTGTTTCGTCAATAAGTGAAATAAGACAAAGTTATGTAATGCTAGAGTAATGGTCAATTTTTCCAGCTTATAAGTTTCAATTATTGTTTATGCATTGTATCACGCTTGACATTACTTTGTATCACGCTTGACATTACATTGTACTTCCCTTTTCCTCTTCAGCCCATGGAATTAAACCTCATCCCTCCTCCAAAGCCGCAGACTGAGACCTCCATGGACTTAATGCGGAAGTACGGTATCGAGGAGTTTGAAATGGAGTACACAGAATCGGACTATGATGAGCTCATCAACTACAAACTCTACACGGATAACATGCGTCCCCTGCTTTTGGAATACGCCCCGAAACTTCATTCACGGAAGCGGGTCAACCTCTTGGCGGCTCTGTGGAAAGAGTTTGCTGCCAGCAACCCCAAGAAGAAGAAGCCGTTGTCCACGTCTGTCCTGGACTTCAAACCCGCGGATGAGGCCAAGGAAGCAGAGGTAGAGGAGGAGGAGGACGGCGGCGGCGGCGATGACAACGAGGCTAAGAGGGAGAGCTTGGAAGTAAATGTCAAAGTCCAGGAAGAGGAGAAGGAGGAGGAAGTGAAAGAAAAGAAGGGAGGAAAAGGTAAGGAAACCAGATACATGCCATGTACTTGAATTGCAGTAAGGAAATATGTTATAATTTGTATTGTTGCAAAGAAGTGTGATATTGGAATCACTTACGTGTGGGTGGAGTGAGGATACAATGATCTCCCCCACCTTTTTACAAAGTAATTTGACTCCATGTAACACTTAACCCTATTTAGCCCGGGGGGGGGGGGGGGGGGGGGCTTGAGAAGCCCCCCCCCCTCGACATTTTTCGCGATAATTTTTTAACGCAAGAAAATCTTGCACTGAAATTTTGTGACTTTTTTCTTTCGAGTCTTGCGCATCTTTTGAAAGAAATTTTTCGAAAATCGGACCTACCATTACAAAGTCACATGACCTTTTGTCTTTGCATGTCAGCCCGAAAATCGCTCATTTTTGTGATTTGTGTACAAAACATATGGAAATCTCATTTTTTCAAATAAAGAGATAAAACATTGGTTATTTGGTCTTGTTTATAGTTAAGGTGTTTATTTTGGGGTCAAAATAGTTGAATTATAGTTGGAAATTAAATAAAACAACAAAAACAATAAAAATACATGAGTTAAAAAAACAAAGAAATACATAAGAAATTATCAAAACAATAGATAACATAAAGAATAACCCTGGTTTTTCAAGTTTTTGTGTTGTATTATTATTCCAAATGGTCTAACAAATATATGTAGTGAGAAAGAATGCTTAAATATGAATAATGTCTGATTTATGGGCAAAAATGTGAATTTGATGACCTTATTTGCATAAATTACCATAAATATGCAAATGAGTGAATTTTTCAAAAAATTGAAATTACCATAGTAATCTATACACTTCACTTGACATGTATGCAAATTTTCGCGGCGATCGGTCGTTTCACGGCCGAGATCATAGGGGGGGGGGGGGGGGGGGCCTGAGAAGCCCCCCCCGGGCTATGCAGTTTCAAAATAGCCCGGGCTAAATAGGGTTAACACCACATTTACAATACTTTGGAGTGGAGGAATAGAATAATTCTAAATAATGTATCGCAGTACGTTTTAGATGTTTCATCCTTATTAATTATCCCCTCGCCGATGAAGTCGGAGGGGATACATGCAGTAACACCGCCGTCCATAGTCCTTCCTTCCGCGCGTCCGTAACAAATTTGGTTTCCGATCGATAACTTCAGTAATGTTTGATGGATTTTAATGAAATTTGATATGAAGGTACATGATATCAAAATACAGGGTAAGTTTGATTTTGGAGTACGTAGGTCAAAGGTCATAGCTCATTAAATATGCGAAAAAATACACATCTGATTTCTGATCGATAACGTCAGTAATGTTTGACAGATTTTAATGAAATTTGATATGAAGGTACACGATATCAAAATACAGGCTAAGTTTGATTTTGGAGTACGTAGGTCAAAGGTCATAGCTCATTAAATATGCAAAAAAATACATCTGATTTCCGATCGATAACGTCAGTAATGTTTGACAGATTTTAATGAAATTTGATGGTATCAAAACACAACCTAAATTCGATTTCGGAGTATTTAGGTCAAAGGTCATAGCTCATTTAATATGCGAATCTGGTTTTCATTTGATAACTTGAGTAAAGTTTGACAAATTTTAATGAAATTTGATATGAAGGTACATGGTATCAAAACACAGCCTAAGTTCAATTTCTGAGTATTTAGGTCAAAGGTCGTAGCTCATTAAATATGCGAATCTGGTTTCCATTCGATAACTTGAGAAATGTTTGTCAAATTTTAATGAAATTTGATATGAAGGTACATGGTATCAAAATACATGTACAGCCTAAGTTCGATTTCTGAGTATGTAGGTCAAAGGTGAAAGTTCATAGCTCATTAAATATGCAAAAACACCTAATTATATATGTGAAAATGTGGTTAACTTCCTTGCCTAGTAATATAATAGTATAGTCCAATGTTCTGATGTATATAGGCCATTTGTACCCTGCAAGGGGATGCTACGCTTCGCGTTGACTTGTTGTTTAAGCATTTGTTATAATTTTTGTTCACAAGATTTTATCCAATGATCAGGGTAATAATATCTGTAAAGCGCTTAGAGACAGTTTTCCATATTAAGCACCATATAAATCCAGATTATTATTATTATTGGAATTTTTGTTTGTCAGTTGATGTACTAGGAATATTTTTCTGTGAATAACAGAAACCATGGTATCCACATTCAGCATTTGCCTTGCACCACTAATGTCAATAGAACATCCCTTTGCTTTCAAAGTGCAGCAGGGAGAAAATCTGTACACATATTTAAAGCTGCAAAATAAGATCTGTGGTTCCCAGACCATAATTAAAAGGTCTATCTTTATGCCTCCGCTACAAAGTAGCCGGAGGCATTATGTCTTCGGGTTGTCCGTACGTCTGTACGAATGCATGACACTTGGTAGCTCTGCTCTTGAACACTGGTGTACAGTCATAAACTCTTCTGTGAAAGAAACTTTTTTTAGAATTTGAGTGGCCATGGTTGAGATCCACAGAAATGTTATGCTTTTAAATGATTGAATAAAAACTTTGAATTTTTTTAACTTCAGATACTTGCTGTATAATTGCTACATATTTGGGGACACTTTTCTGATATATTTTCTTTCTTTGTCTGAATCAGATCTGTTAAACAGATGCGAAATAACAAATCTGTATTTCATATCTCAAGATTGTGGGCTTTCTATGATGAACAATATTACATAGATGTATATCTGTTGCCCATAAAGTTTGACTCAATTTCTTTTACCTCTGTTCATGAAGAGATAGTGAGAATCATGTAATTTATTCTTGAAAGATAAATTTCATATCAGATATCAGGAATATATTTATCAATCTAAAGTTGCTCAGATATTGATCAATAAAGTTCTGAGAAGAAATAAGCTTTATAAATAATTGAATTCAGGTATTGTCACTTTGATTTCATGAAAAGAGGTGATAAATATTATTCCAGCTTTATTGGCAACAGTGTATATTGTATGCATTCATATTTATTTTTTCCCCCAATCAGATGCGAGCACTTCAAAAGCAGTATATGTCAGGAGGTGAGATAATGCATTATCAAAATCTACCAGGTTTACCAAATATTGATTGGGCAAATTTATAAAAAGAAATGTTTTCATACAGACTTCTTAACATGTTGCGTAGCAGTTTTTATGTGACTTTTGTGTTATCACCTACCAAACAGTGACAATGCTTTTAGAATTTGTTAGATATTTCATAATTCGATGAATAGTTGACAGGAAACTCAACAGTTGTTAAAGTACCTTATAGTATTTTATTTATTGTACCGTTGATCTGTAGATATACATGTACATTGCGACGTTCACGATATATGTAAACTGAAAATGCTTTGTTCCTGTCAATGCCCAAATTTTGAATTCTAGCAAAAAATTGATTGTACCATTTTTCCTCTCCTTTGTGTACAGGTCTGAAAGACAACAAAGCAACACCAAAAAAGATGAAGGTAACTATATGCATGTTACAAAGATTTACAGTAGGGTAGAGAATTAGAGATACCGTATGAATGTACTTGCCCTGTTCAATTTTTATCAGAGATTTGCTTTCGGACGTCTGATATTTTCTGCCAATTGCCAGAATTCCTGCCTTTTTGATATTTTGGGTGTCAACGTTCCGGCCTCGTATATTTCTTTCCGGCCTTCTCTCCAACTTGAAAAAGCACCAGATTTGCCCCTGCATATGCAGATATGTAGTTGATAATAATACCCAATCCAAAATAACGGTCATTTAGATTGATTTAACAACTGTTAGAAAATAGCTTGACTTAAAAAAATGTGTTAACTCTTTCCTATTTTGGGCGCTAGTTCAGAAGCCTATCCAAAATTTGACCTGTAACTCCGGCGTGGAGATACCCTACTAAAACATACCCAAAATGAAGTAAATATTCATCTAATGTCCAAATGAAGATCATGGGTTAAAAGTCGTTATATTTATTACCTGTTTTGTGTCAATTTTCTTGTTATTTTTTGGAAAAACGTTGATATTAGTATACACTTTTTCACAGGTTTCACGGCAAACCGCTGCACAATACAAGTGCATACCGATGGTGGATAGCGGGCGTTATCTACCGTAATAAGGACCTCAGACTTTTCGGTAGATAACTTAAAAGCATACAATTAACCAGACAACATTAAATGAAACATCGTACTCTTGATCACTGGTGTAAAATCATTAATTCTTCTTCACATTTTTCCTTTTTTTTTTGGGGGGGGGGGTTTGATTGAATCATAACTTTGAATCTTTTCAACTCCAGTATCTGGCGGTATCATCGCTGATCATTCACCAAAATCCTTGCCCAGGAAGTTTAATGTGAACCGCAAGAATGGTAAAGGTAGGTAGCAAATGGTTTTAATGTATTTTGTTGATTCATACATATTTAGGGATAATTTTCTGATATTTTATTTCTTTGTCTGTATCAGATCTGTTAACAGATGCAATAATGAAAAATCTGTGTTTCATATCACAGGATTAGATGTTACATTTAAAAGTTGACGATAACTTTAATTAACAATTTATCTTGAAGTACACGAGCTCTGCATACCTTGATTTTTCCCTAGGTGTAATCAAGTTTTCGAACCAAGCTATGTGTAACACCAATTAAATAGAAATGAGGACATGTTTGAAAAACACATAATAGCAATAAACAAATTATTTATTTATGACTCCAAGATACAAATTCTGACAATATGACGTCAAGCAGACTCATGATAAAAAATGATAAGCAGGTTGTTTATATTCCATTCATTAAAACTTCATCAACATTGCATGGATATAGCAAGTTTCTAATCACAAATGATTTTCTTCCATCATCATGAATAACTGTCCCAAATAAATGAATACAACTATCAAGTGAACTTTATCAAACAATCACAAATCCCAATTAAAAACTACATTGAAATAGTGGTTTATATGATAACCACTCACCCTGGCAATATGGCCTAGAGGACCGTGTCCTCTGATGGTACCCTCCTTACATGTTTGTCAACACTTACAGGAATAATAATGAATACAAATCATTGTGAATTTTGATCTAAAACAAAAAACAGACGATTCAATGACTATAACCACAAACTATTAGCTCTTAAAATATTTAAAACTGTTTCACAAAATATGATTATCCAGAGTTAACCTCAACAACACATTATAAAACTAAATCTCCTAGAGATTACAAGTAATATAAGAGATAACATAATAAAGCACACATCAAAGAATCCCTCAACCTCGATCAAGATGTTATGGACAAAGTCTCCACTAAAAGACTCAAATATTTTGGCCAGGTCCTAAGGATGAAAGTGAAACACCCCAAAATTGCAGTTGAAGGAAATGTTACAGGAAATCGACCCAGAGGTTGTCCACCCAAAAGATGGCTCGACTGCATCTCAGAGGACTGCAAAGCAAGATCCATACCAAGGATGAAAGATGCATCAAGACTGGCTGCAGACAGAAATACTTGGCGTACCATCACCATACAGAAGCCATCACGAGGCCCCTGGCCTGCGTGGACGGCATAAGTCAAATCATCCAAGTCATCTTGAATTACTATTACCAATAAATTCAACGCAAGCCCGGTAGAACCTACAGGATTCTACTGCGATCCACTTTTTATAGAATGGGAGGTTATATCAGATATGGATATCTTAACAACCATCATCCTCCTGATTTAGGTTCTAAATAATGATAAAAATATTTACCAGAATTTCCTGTCTGCTGCCCCAAGATCACTGGAGCAAAAGTAGGTGACAATGGGTAGCCACAGCTTAGTGAAGGATTAATCCTTTTTTTTTATCCAGATGGATTATTTTACCATTCCATTTAAAACTCGATTACCTGATACTTCTTGATTCATCAACCAATACAACCTGTTTTTTTAAATCAATTTGAATTCCAGGGGAAACACCGCTCCAATTAGCATGCTTCAAGAACGACATTACTAAAGTAAGGGAGCTGCTGAATAAACCTGACATAGATGTCAATGCCCGGGACAATGCAGGATGGACACCTCTACACGAAGCCTGTATCCGTGGACACACTGCCTCTGTCAAAGAGCTTCTGAAGTTCGCTTCTGGAAAGAGAATGGTTACAAGTATGTGTGAACGTGGGCCATAGAAAATGTGAAGTTTGAAAGTTTCTGATGTGGTTGATATGTAAAAGAAAAAGACATTTCTATAGGATAACAGGAAGAAATGAAAGTAGCCTATTTCAAGCAAAATAAGGCGAGATGGCTAAGTCAGTAAATTTGGTAAATCAAGTAAAGAAATATTTGTTTGATATAGCAGTAGTGGTGGTGCCATTTTAAATGTCAGACAGCAGCTTGAAATATGAATAATCTATTCAAAATTTTAATTTTTGTGATATCTCTACATTTTGATTTGTTTTAGAACTTTTGTAAGTGCATAATTACAAATTATCAGAATTCCAATTCAATTGATATTTCATTTTAAAATGTTGTTGATACTGTACACTGAATGTTGATTCAGGTACAGAGAGTAGAGGCATGCAAACCCTGGACTTTCTAGCAGCACCATCTGAATGTGGGAACACACCCCTCCATGATGCGGTCTTTAATAATCATATAGAAGTGGTCAAGCTTCTGGTAGAGGCCGGAGGTGAGTTGATCTCCTAGTCAGAGGGCAGAAATTACCAAACAACTTAATTCGTCGAAATCAGATATACCTGTAAGGTGTTACATAACAATTAGTATGTGCTATAATTGCATATATTCATGTACAAGCAGAAATGTGAATACAGGTTTAGATGTATTTCTTCCTAAGTGGGAGATATAAATTGATATCAAATTGCTTTTATATGTTTCTCAAAGTAACTTGATGTATTCCAGAACAAAATAATACATTAGAAATAAAACAATAGATATAATAAGATTTAAAAAACATTAAAATACATAAGAAAATAAATATTTGAAAATCGCATCAAATTTGCTTAAATTATCAGTATTAATTACATAAAAATAACTATTTTGTGTTAAAAAAGAAGTTTTATATGAATAATGAGTTTCAATTAACATTCAAAAAGTGGAGTCTGACAATTGTTGTAATGATTCTAGTTCCCTGTATATTTCCAGATTTGATATTCATGAATGCGTATTCATAATTTTTGCAAATTAACCTATGCATTTTCAAATATCATAAAAATAATGTAACCTCATGAATTTGAGATGAAGGAAACATTTATTCAATACATTTTCAAGATTCTTCACAAGTCTACAGACAAATATGTAGATGGTTTTCTGTAAAATGCATAAAATTAGCATTTTGCATAATTAATTAGGCTATAACGACAACAATTTGCATATTAGGAAAACAGTATATATACCATCTTGTTCCTTACGTAAATATCTACAAACGTGCAAATTTCAAGTCAAGCATGATCATAATTACACCTTGTCTGTTTTCAATTGCCAACAGAAGACCATGCTTGACAAGTCCTCATTTTTAAGCTGTTACGTGCCATATTTAGAATCTAAAGACATTTGAAGAGCCATGGTTTTCAGGGAACATATATTTCTCTGAAGTTCTTCCACACTTGCATAATAACAATGAAAATACTCACAAATTATTTTTCACCTTACCCCAGAGCTCTTTAAATGCCTCATGTCACTAGTTTTGATCCATTTTCTTCTGTTATGGTGTTATTCATTAGGGAGTATTCTACTGACTGCTAAGAACAAGGCAGGGTTTACTCCATTTGGCATGGCTCTGACAGAGGTCATGAAGGAAGCCATGTTAGGTCAAAGGTCAGAGGTCAGCAGATTGCCTGCCGTTGACGAAGAGAATGAGAACAGTAAGTACTAAACCAGACTAAACAAATATTCAGCATTTTCAACAACGACAATAACAACAACAAAATTAATTTGATCTAAAAGTGTTTTCTCAAAGAGAAAGAAAGAGCAAAAAATAAGCGAGAAATGTAGCATTTGATCTTAGAACTGATCATCTGTAAGCACTGAAGGCTGGAAGGCTGTGGTTTCTCAAAAGAGAGAGTTAAAATGTTTTGTGATAGTCATGAGCTCCAAATGTAGTACCGGTAAGCACAATTAAACAAATTGTAACATTTCTTACATAACTTTGGAGACACATTTCTAACGGCAGTGACTCTGTGAATCTGGAAGATATAAGGCCTAACAAAAGTGCTCATGTATTGTTGGATGCTTCATTCCCTTTATAAGACTATGCTTAAGAGATAATTGTATCTTTTTGTTGTGACACAATCAGGGGCGTAAATCCGTACCGAGGAGTTGGGGGGATGATTGGCGATAGCCTTCACATACTAGCACGAGCACACGCCCACACTAATTTACGCAAGCGTGCGCGATCGCGCACGCACAAACACACACACACACACACACCACAACAGGGAAATGCTGTCAACCGTGGACCAAGTTTAGTACTTGTGTTTGTGTGCGTAGGTAATCACCAGCAACCGCGAACCACTCCATAGAAAACTACATCAAACCGCGGACGTACCTCCTATGGGATGATCCAGGTAGCGAGCGCCTCTCCCGCGCAGTCAAAAGGGGGCGCTGTGACATTTCGCGATACACATAGGACTGATCCAGTCGATGTTGCCTACACGCTGTGACATCTAAAATTCAAACGCCCCCTACGTCATAAATTTGATACGGCGGAACTGGTATCGCAACCGTGGACGGTCCCCCATTGCAGGTACGTCCGCGGTTTGAGGTAGTTTTCTATGGAGTGGTCCGCGGTTGCTGGCGTTTTCCTACGCACGCTCGCTCATTAGGGGTGTGTGGGTGATAGGCCTACAGCGCGAAGACGTTTCCTTAAATTATTAGTAAAAGAAGACGATTTATTTTACCGTTCTCTACCGTTAACCCTTGTCTGAATGAATTCCCCCCCCCTCCCGCCCGAAGCGCGGAAGCTTTGACGTTTCATTCAATTATTAGAGAAAGAAGACGATTCGTTGTACCATTCTCGACTCTTAATCCTGGTTTAAATGCAGTTTTCCCCCTCCCGCACGAAGCGTGGAAGCTTTGATGTTTCATTAAATTATTAGAGAAAGAAGAGGAATCATTGTACCATTCTCGACTCTTAATCCTTGTCTGAATTTAACTCCTCCCCCTCCCGCGCAAAGCGCAGAAGCTTAATGTTTCATTAAAGTATTAGAGAAAGAAGACTATTCGTTGTTCCGTTCTTGACTCTTAATCCTTGTCTGAATTCAATTCCTCCCGCGCGAAGCGCGGAAGCTTTGACGTTTTAATCATTGTAATCGTTGTACCATTCTCGACTCTTAATCCTTGTCTGAATTTAACTCCTCCCCCTCCCGCGCAAAGGGCAGAAGCTTAATGTTTCATTAAATTATTAGAGAAAGAAGACGATTCGTTGTACCATTCTCGACTCTTAATCCTGGTTTAAATGCAGTTTTCCCCCTCCCGCGCGAAGCGTGGAAGCTGTGATGTTTCATTAAATTATTAGAGAAAGAAGAGGAATCGTTGTACCATTCCCGACTCTTAATCCTTGTCTGAATTCAACTCCTCCCCCCTCCCGCGCAAAGCGCGGAAGCTTTGACCTTTTATTAATTATTAGAGAAAGAAGACTATTCGTTGTACCGTTCTCGCCGGTGTTCTCGACTCTTAATCCTTGTCTGAATTCAATTCTCCCCCTCCCCCTCCCGCGCGAAGCGTGGAAGCTTTGATGTTTCATTAAATTATGAAAGAAAGAAGAGGAATATTCGTAACATTCTCGACTTTTAATCCATGTCTGAATTCAATTCCTTCCTCCTCTCGCGCAAAGCGCGGAAGCTTTGACCTTTCATTAATCATTAGAGAAAGAAGACAATTTGTTGAAACATTCTCGACTCGTATTCCTAGTCTGAATTCAGTTTTCTCTCTCCCGCGCAAAGCGCGGAAGCTTTGAACTTTCATAGTTCAATGAAATTATTAGAGAAAGAAGATGATTCGTTGTGCCCTTCTCGACTTGTCATAATTTTCAAAAATGTTTCTTTGTCTGCTCCTTTGTTCGTCCTATGTTTCTTTGTCTGCTCCTTTTTTCGTCCTACCGCCCCTGGCTACGCGCCTGCTTTAAAGGGAAAATGAAACAATCATGATTGTGATAGCACACAATTATGTAGAAATGAACGAAGTTTTGTGTTATCGGGCGAGGGCCGGGGCGTAGCGACCAAGCGAGATATTGCAATGTTGAAAGCTGAAATTATGCATTCTTGAAAATCCCTAAGCCCAATATGTACGTTCTTTCCGCTATATTTTTTCTAGCTATATTTCTAAATTTCCTGGGAGACGTGTCTCCCTATCGGGCCCAGGATTGCCGCCCCTGTCCATGATTAGTACCAACACGAGCTCAAATACAAGCACAAGCGAGTTGGTATGAGCTGAATCCAAATGAAGGGCAAAATTAGAGTTGTGAAGCGGCCCTACCGTTAATTTAAAATTTGACTGTTGAGTTTATAGCTTCTATTTAAAAGACATCCAAAATATTGTGCCCTTTTCAAATTCCTCACTAAAGAGTGATGACCTTTGTAGCGCAGGGGCTGTTTGTAACGTTCAACTTTGAATCCGCGGCTTGAAATTTTATGCTGCCGGCCCGGCCCCCTCTATTCAATAACGTTTGCCAAGCCTTCTGGAATGACCCCAAATCTCCAGAAAACAGCCATTTCCGTGTCTTTCCCCCTTTCTCATCCGACTTTTCTCCCCCCCACCCACTCAGTGTTATCTAGGGTACGTGCATGTATGTTCCCTCTCTTTGAAAGCACCCCTCTATCTCCGGTGTGTAAAGTCAGTACGGGCCAGATTTTTGTGTATTACGGGCCGGACTTTGTTGCGTGAAAAGTAACCCTTTGTCAGAGATTTCAAGAACACAATTTCGGTCCCTCCGACCCCCGAGTGGGAGGGAGGGGGAGGGGGGCTTTTTTTCTCTCTTTCTTCTCTCCTTTTTTTTCTCTTTCTCCCTGTTTCTTTTCTCTTCTTTCTTTTCTCTTCTCTTTTCCTTTCTCTTCTCCTTTTTTCCTTCTCTTCTCCTTTCTTTTTTTTCCTCTTCTTTTCTTCCTCTTTTTTCCCTTTTTTGTGCACCGCCAATAGGGGGGCCGCGGCCGTTTCGGCCCCCCCCTGGATCCGCCACTGATTTGCTGTACCGTTCTCGACTGTAAATCCTTGTCTGAATTCAGTTCCCCCCCTCCCGCGCGGAAGTTTTGGCGTTTCATTAAATTATTAGAGAAGGTAGACGATTTGTTAAACCGTGCTCGACTCTTAATCTTTGTCTGAATTCGGTTTACCCCTCCCGCGCAAAGCGCAGAAGTTTTGACATTTCATTAAATTATTAGAGAAAGCAGTAATTCATTGTACCGTTTTCGACTCTTAATAAGCCCTATTTATCTGAATTCAGTTTCCCCCTCTAGCTCGAAGCGCGGAAGCCTTGACGTTTCCTTAAATTATTAGAGAAAGCAGACGATTGGGTGTACTGTTCTCGACTCTTAATTCTTGTCTGAATTCAGTTTCCCCTTCCCGCGCGAAGCGCGAAAAGCTTAGACGTTTGATTTAATTATTATAGAAAGAAGACGATTCGTTGCACCGTTTTCGACTCTTAATAAGCCCTATTTATCTGAATTCAGTTTCCCCCTCTCGCGCGAAGCGCGGAAGCCTTGACGTTTCCTTAAATTATTAGAGAAAGCAGACTATTGGGTGTACTGTTCTCGACCCTTAATTCTCATCTGAATTCAGTTTCCCCTTCCCGCGCGAAGCGCGAAAAGCTTAGACGTTTGATTTAATTATTATAGAAAGAAGACGATTCGTTGCACCGTTTTCGACTCTCAATAAGCCCTATTTATCTGAATTTATCTGAATTCCCCATCCCCCCGGGATTTACGCCCATGGACACAATATCAAGTTAAAGTGTGAAATATATCTTGGCGACAGGTTTTTGTCTACTCATCCGTCTTATTCATTCAGCAATATATCTTGTCTATAGGATTTCTATCATCATAAATTTAAATTCACAAAATAAATTCAACTAAACAATTTAGGCAGTCCTAAAAGAATGTAAAAACAGGAAGGACACAATATTTGATGAAATGCGCCTAAATAGTGGGCCTGACCCTTTACCTATTTTCAAAATTCAAATGCAGTTGATATTTCATTTTAAATTGCTGCTGTTAATTGAGATTGAGGTACTGAGAGTAGAGGCATGAAAACCCTGGACTTGCTAGCAGGACCACCTGAATGTGGGAACACACCCCTTCATGATGCGGCCACTAATAATCTATAGAAGTGGTCAAGCCTCTGGTAGAGGCCGGAGGTGAGTTGATCTAGTCAGAGGTCAGAATTACCAAACAACTTAATTTGTACCACATTTGTTTGACAAAACTAATGAAATATACAGTGCGTCCCAGAAAAAACGAAACCAAGAACTGTGGATAAACGACACATATTTGGAAAGCTTAGATCCTCCTCTTTCATTTGATGCACCTCATATAATACATATGTCACGCATGAGTGATTAACAGCAATTTGTAGAGAGGAAACCAAAAAGGCATTTGGCTGGCGGTATCTGGATTTTAAAGAGAAAAATCACATTTCAAGAAATTAAATTTCTCCCCTTTCATATGACACCTCAATCAGGAAAAATGAGCCAGGAATAACAAAGTTCTGTTTGTTTAAAGTAATAATGCCTGCATTTCCATAATTTGATCAAACGGGTTCGTTTTTACTGACTGCCGTTCGTTGCAACGAACAGAGTTGACAAAAGACTTCACTCCGTTTCGTTGACGATCAGCCATGCACGAAGAAGACAAAAGTCATAACATTTTGGCACAAGATTTTTCTGTGTTACAAAAATTATCACGAAAAATGTAGAGGGGGGGGGGGGGGCTTTAGAACCCCCCCCCCCCCCCCTCTACATTTTTCTTGATAATTTTATGACTTTATTTTTTCGGGTCTTGCGCATCTTTTGAAAAGAAAAATTCTCGAAAATCGGACCTACCGTTACAAAGTCACATGACTTTAGAAGCCCCCCCTTTAGTAATGTTTGACGGATTTTGATGAAATTTGATATGAAGGTTCATGGTAACAAAACACAGCCTAAGTTCGATTTCGGAGTATGTAGGTCGAAGGTCATAGCTCATTAAATATGCGAATCTGGTTTCCATTTGATAACTTGAGTAATGTTTGTCAAATTTTAATGAAATTTGATATGAAGATACATGTTATCGAAATACATGTACAGCCTAAGTTCGATTTCTGAGAATCTAGGTCAAAGGTCATAGCTCATTAAATATGCGAATCTGGTTTTCATTCCATAACTTTAGTATTGTTTGACGGATTTTAATGAAATTTAATATGAAGGTTCATGGTATAAAAACACAGCCTAAGTCCGATTTCAGAGTATTTAGGTCAAAGGTCATAGCTCATTAAATATGCAAATCTGGTTTTCATTCGATAACTTGAGTAATGTTTGTCAAATTTTAATGAAATTTGATATGAAGGTACATGGTATCAAAATACATGTACATGCAGCCTAAGTTCGATTTCTGAGTATGTAGGTCAAAGGTGAAAGTTCATAGCTCATTAAATATGCAAAAACACCTAATTATATATGTGAAAATGTGGTTAACTTCCTTGCCTAGTAATATAATAGTATAGTCCAATGTTCTGATGTATATAGGCCATTTGTACCCTGCAAGGGGATGCTACGCTTCGCCTTGACTTGTTGTTTAATTAGCATTTGTTATAATTTTTGTTCACAAGATTTTATCCAATGATCAGGGTAATAATATCTGTAAAGTGCTTAGAGACAGTTTTCCATATTAAGCACCATATAAATCCAGATTATTATTATTAATGGAATTTTTGTTTGTCAGTTGATTTACTAGGAATATTTTTCTATGAATAACAGAAACCATGGTATCCACATTCAGCATTTGCCTTGCACCACTAATGTCAATAGAACATCCCTTTGCTTTCAAAGTGCAGCAGGGAGAAAATCTGTACACATATTTAAAGCTGCAAAATAAGATCTGTGGTTCCCAGACCATAATTAAAAGGTCTATTTTTATGCCTCCGCTAAAAAGTAGCCGGAGCATTATGTTTTTGGGTTGTCCGTCCGTCTGTACGTCTGTACCGTACGTTCGTTCTCGTGATCGCGTTATCTCAAGAACCAATTGATTGATTCCCGTCAAAATAATATCTGTGGTTCCCAGACCATAATTAATGGTCTATTTTTATGCCTCCGCTACAAAGTAGCTGGATCGAGGCATTATGTTTGTGGGTTGTCCGTTCGTCCGTTCGTACGTCTGTACGTACGTACGTCCCGTTCTCGAGATCGCGTTATCTCAAGAACCGATTGATTGATTCCCGTCAAACTTGGGTCATGTATGTATCTCACAGAGCCAATGAACTGATGAGATTTTGGGGTCACGAGATCCAAGGTCAAAGGTCACAGGGCTCATGCAGTAATGAAAAACCTGGATTTCATATCACAGGATAAGAATTAAATATTCAGCATTTTTACAACAACAATAAAAACAACAAAATTCATTTGATCTAAAAGTGCTTTCTCGAAGCTTGTTAATAAGCAGGGAATGTAGCGTATGTGATCTTAATATCTGTAAGCGCTGAAGGCTGTGGTTTTCGAAAGAGAGAGTTGAAATGTTTTGTGATAGTTATCAGCGGCAAACGGTATAGTCACTTCTTCCATATATCATTATCAGGTTTGAGTCTTTCATAAAGTATGAGTCTTTCTAAAAGGTTTTGAGTATAACAAATTTTGTGTAAGCATACACTTTACCAGACACCCCTGTAAAAAAAAATGTTACTCTTCTAGAGATGCCAAGTTCAAAATTAGCAATGCGTGACATTTTCATGATTCGGAAGAAGGTATAACACACGTATAAGGTATAGCGTTTTATTGAAATCTAGCGCGCGCGTCAAGCGTGAGAGCATTTTCAGACCCTCGAAATGCGTGACGTCATGCCTAATGCGTGACACTTGGTAGCTCTGCTCTTGAACACTGGTGTACAAATCATAAACTCTTCTGTGAAAGAAACTTTTTTTAGAATTCGAGTGGCCATGGTTGAGAGCCACAGAAATGTTATGCTATTAAATGATTGAATCAAAACTTTGAATTTTTTCAACTTCAGATACTTGCGGTATAATTGCTACATATTTGGGGACACTTTTCTGATATATTTTCTTTCTTTGTCTGAATCAGATCTGTTAAACTGATGCGAAATAACAAATCTGTATTTCATATCTCAAGATATCAGAGTGTGGGCCTTCAATGATGAACAATATTACATAGATGTATATCTGTTGCCCATAAAGTTTGACTTAATTTCTTTTACCTCTTTTCATGAAGAGATAGTGAGAATCATGTAATTTATTCTTGAAAGATGAATTTCATATCAGATATCAGGAATATATTTATCAATCTAAAGTTGCTCAGATATTGATCAATAAAGTTCTGAGAAGAAATAAGCTTTATAAATAATTGAATTCAGGTATTGTCACTTTGATTTCATGAAAAGAGGTGATAAATATTATTCCAGCTTTATTGGCAACAGTGTATATTGTATGCATATATTTATTTTTCCCCAAACCAGATGCAAGCACTTCAAAAGCAGAAAATGTCAGGAGGTGAGATAGTAATTCATTATCAAAATCTACCAGGTTTACCGAATATTGATTGGGCAAATATATAATAAGAAATGTTGTCATCCAAACTTTTTAACATGTTGCAGAGCAGTTTTTATGTGACTTTTGTGTTATCACCTACCAAATATTGATGCAATGCTTTTAGATTTTGTTAGATATTTCATAATTCGATGAATAGTTGACAGTAAACTCAATAGTTGTTAAAGTACCTTATATTATTTTATTTATAATTGTAACATTGATCTGTAGATGTACATGTACATTGCGACGTTCACGATATCTGTAAATTGAAAATTTGTTCCTGTCAATACGTAACATTTGGAACTGCCCAAATTTTAGATTCTAGCAAAAAATGTATTTTACCATTCTTCCTCTCCTTTGTGTACAGGTCTGAAAGACTACAAAGCAACACCAGAAAAGATGAAGGTAACTATATGCATGTTACAAAGATTTAAAGTAGGGTAGAGAATTAGAGATACCGTATGAATGTACTTGCCCTGTTCAATTTTTATCAGAGATTTGCTTACGGACGTCTGATATATTAAAAGGGATGCCAATTTTACGCCAATTGCCGGAATTCCAGCCTTTTTGATATTTTGGGTGTCAACGTTCCGGCCTCGTATATTTCTTTCCAACTTAATTGAAAAACCACCAGATGTGTGTGTGACATGAGAAATCTTGTACGAAAGAATTAGAATTGACTGAGCCGTTAGGAGATCACTTTCACACTTTGCATGGTACGGCCATCGTGCATAATTGTTAATTTTGGTAAAACAACTGTAACGTTAGTCTAGCGTCCACCATGTACATGTATGATCTTGCATGTTGTGGATATGAGTGTGGCCATGTGCGGATCGCGACTTGACGATCGCTGGGACTGGCGCGGCCGCCGTCTGTGTTGATGCGTATAGCTAGTGCATGCCGTTGCATTCATTCTCTGAAATATGTCTAGATAGAGGCTTCCTGACATTCTGACATTAAAATTACCCATAAAATTGGATTGAATTTGAGGGGAAATAATCCCTAGAATAGGCTCAGATTGCATCAGGCGGGCCCTGGACCCCGGCCGAAGTGGACTTCGTGCAAATAATTTTAACCCTCCAAAAAGTTTCAGGCCCTGGAGCCATTTGCCACTGGCATCCCTGGATATATTCTTTTACTTGATATATTCATTCATGGTGTCAAGCCGTGTCAAGTATGCTTTCAAAAATCTTTGAAAAGGGTAAAATGAGGAGGTGATGGGATGTCTCCCCCCGCCCCCACATAATTTAAATATGAGAGTACAGAGATTACCTGAAATGCATGCAAGATAATCGAGCATTACCGACTTGACCTAAACAAGGCAGAGTTTACTCCAGTAGTTGGCATGGCTCTGACAGAGGTCACGAAGGAAGCCATTCTAGGTCAAAGGTCTGCAGATTGCCTGCCGTTGACGAAGAGAATGAGAACAGTATTAGTACCAAAGCAGACTAACAAATATTCAGCATTTTTACAATAACAACAACAAAATTAACTTGATCTAAAAGTGCTTTCTCGAAGCTTGTTAATGTTGGGAGAGAAAACGAGCAAAGAATATGCGGGGAATGTATTGTTATGATCTTAACCACTTGACTGCGGGCCACGTACATGTACATTGTACGTGGTCTAGGTCTTGCATGCCATGTGCGCACACCATGTACATGGTACGTGGTTAGGGCATTGCACTTTCAAGATCATAGTCTGCGGCAAAGAGTATGCCAAAGTATGCGGCAGAAGTTTCATCCTGCTGCAGACTTGCCGCATACCAGTATGCCACAGGAACAGTCTGCGGCACATCTGCGGCAGGGTGAAACTTTGCTCCAGACTTGCCGCATACTAGTATGCCACAGGAACAGTCTGCGGCAGATCTGCAGCAGGATGGAACTTTGCTCCAGACTTGCCGCATACTTGTATGCCACAGGAACAGTTTGCGGTAATGTAATGATGCAATGCATGCTCTCCAGCATAGCCTTCCTGCAAGACTGCATACTTAATTGCCAAGTACTGGATATGAAAGAGTATGCGGCAGATCTGCAGCAGGTCTATATGAGATATGAATATTCATGATGAAGAGTCTGCGGCAGGTCTGCAGCAGACTCTTTGTAATAGCCTTTTCTATGAATATTCATAATATAGGAGTCTGCGGCAGACCTGTCGCAGACTCTTCATCATACTGAAAGAGTATGCGGCAAGTCTGCGACAGACCTGCCGCAGACTCTTCATCGTATTGAAAGAGTATGTGGCAAGTCTGCAGCAAGTCTGCGGCAGACCTGCCGCAGACTCTTCATCATACTGAAAGAGTATGCGGCAAGTCTGCGGCAAGTCTGCGGCAAGTCTGCGGCAAAACTAATTTGCATGTGAAAAAAAAGACTGTCTGCGGCAAGTTTGCTGCAGGAGTATGCGGCAGGCTCATTTCTTTCCTATGGGTAGCACTGCAATGATGTTATACAGGTCTTGAACAGTAGATGGCGCTCTTTCAAAACAAAATCCGGCCTTTTCGTGTATGGCGCTTTTTCACAAGAAAATCTGGCCTTTTCATGTACAGTGTAAACTTTTTGAACAGGCTCTCGTTGGATTGACAGAAATGTCATGCTATTAAATGATTAAAATCACAACTTTTAATCTTTTCAACTTCAGTTTCTGGCGGTATCATCGCTGATCATTCACTAAAAACCTCGCCCAGGAAGACCAATGAGAACCGCAAAGGTAGGTAGCAAATGGTTTTCATGTATTTTGTTGATTCATACATATTTAGGGATAATTTTCTGATATTTTATTTCTTTGTCTGTATCAGATCTGTTAACAGATGCAATAATGACAAATCTGTGTTTCATATCACAGGATTAGGTGTTACATTTCAAAGTTGATGATAACTTTAATTAACAATTTATCTTTAGGTACACAAGCTCTGCATAACTTTAATTTTCCCTAGGTCTAATCAAGTTTTTGAACCAAGCTATGTGTAACACCTGGAAACTAGTACAGATGACACGCCATACCAGTCCTTGTATTGTGGTTCGTTTGATTTCAAGTTACAAGTTACAAGGCAAAATCAACCTGAATCAATAACAAAATTAAACAATTAAATAGATATGAGGACATGTTTGAAAAACACATATACCCGGTAATGGCAATAAACATATTATTCATTTATGACTCCAAGATACGTATTCCAACAATATAACGTCAAGCAGATTCATGATAAAAAATGATTAACAGGTTGTTTATATTCCATTCATTAAAACTTAATCAACATTGCATGAATATAACAAATATCTAAACACAAATAATTTTCTTCCATCATTATGAATAACTGTCCCAAATAAATGAATACAAGCATCAAGTGTACTTTATCAAACTTAATTTTCCATTAAAAACTACATTGATAACCACTCACCTAGCTAAATCTGGTACCCTTCTTACACGTTATTTGTCAACACCTAAAGGAATAATAATTAATACAAATCATTGTGAATTTTAGTCTAAAACACAAACCTAAAGACCGTTCAATGACTATATAACCGCAAACTATTAAACTCTCAAAATATTACTTTAACACTGTTCACAAGACATGATTATCCAGAGTTAACCTCAACAACACATTATAACACTAAACCTCCTAAAGATTACAAGTAATATAACAGATAACATAGTAACATCCAAGTCATCTCAAATTTAACAAATCAATATCAAATGTGTAAAGAAATCAACCTACTGACGATTAAACAGATAATATGCCACACCTTACAGAATGCATATTAATTCAAAACAACTTATTCAGAACAATACCAAGGTTATAAACTAATGTCAGAATACATCTACGAAAACACTAATTATCTCAATAATTATGAAACTCAATAAAAGGATATTCTTCTTACCTAATGTAACCCCAAAAGCTTGAAAAGACGACCTCCCCGTCTGTCCCATAAATGGATCGAGGTGCAGTGCAGGAGGGAGTCTGGTCAATACTGCTGCCCCGTTTTATAACTGTTAGTGTTACACTCTCTATTGGGAATTGCTGACCTTTGACCAAGTGACCGGTATGTCATGTTTTGAATAAATGACAAGGGAGTCCAAGCTTTTACTCAGAATATGTGTGAATCATATTTTTTGAAGTACACAGTTTGTAAACATATAAACTTCTTTGCTTCCTCCTGTTCACTTCATGTGGATATATTGAATTGGTCTTTTCATCACAAAACAGTACAATTTTTACCTGTTACGTATGCATCACATGTGTTATTTATAGTTCCTAAGTTGAACTATTTTGTGCTTTTGCAATAAATTCAACGCAAGCCCGGTGGACCCTACAGGATTCTACTGCAATCCAGTTTTCATAGAATGGGCAGTTATATCAGATATGGAAATCTCAACAACCACTATTCTCCTGATTTAGGGTCTAAATAATGGTAAGAATATTTACCAGAATTTCCTGTCTGCTGCCCCAAGATCACTGCTGGAGCACAAGTAGGTGACAATGGATAGCCGCAGCTTAGTGAACGATTAATCCTTTTTCTTATCCAGATGGATTCTTTTACCATTCCATTTGAAATTCCAATTACCTGATACTTCTCGATTCATCAACCAATACAACCTGTTTTTTACATCCATTTGAATTCCAGGGGAAACACTGCTCCATGAAGCATGCATCAAGAACAACATCACGAAAGTAAGGGAGCTGCTGAATGAACCTGACATCGATGTCAACGCCCAGGACGGTGCAGGATGGACACCTCTACACGAAGCCTGTAACCATGGACACACGGTCTGTGTCAAAGAGCTTCTGAAGTTCGCTCCTGGAAAGAGAATGGTTACAAGTATGTGTGAACGTGGGTCATAGAAAATGTGAAGTTTGAAAGTTTTCTGATGTGGTTGATATGTAAAAGAAAAAGACATTTCTATAGGATATAGCAGGAAGAAATGAAAGTAGTGTATTTCAAGCAAAATGAGGCAAGTTGGCTCAGTCAGTAAATTCAGTAAATCAAGTAAAGAAATATATGTTTGATATAGCAGTAGTTGTGGTACCTGAAACAACTTTGAATGCTTTTGCAATGTGCCATTTTAAATGTCAGACAGCAGCTTGAATTATGAATAATTTATTCAAATTTTTCATTTTGGTGATATCTCCACATTTCGATTTGTTCTAGAACTTCTGTAATTGCATAATTACAAATTATCAGAATTCCAATTCAATTGATATTTCATTTTTAAATGTTATTGATACTTCACACTGATTGTTGATTCAGGTACAGAGGGTAGAAGCATGCAAACCCTGGACTTGCTAGCAGCTCCATCCAAATGTGGGACCACACCCCTCCATGATGCCGTCTATAATAATCGGATAGAAGTGGTCAAGCTTCTGGTAGAGGCTGGAGGTGAGTTGATCTCCATGCACGAGGTGAAAGATAAGAAACGCTCTATCCAACGAGACGTAGCTGAATTGAATAGAGTGTCTCATCTTTCACTGAATGCAAAATCTTATTTTATTGCTCGAATAAAGACCATTCACTATTTGTCTTATACAATACCTCGGACGTTAACAAATTAAAACTTTTTTTTTAAAGAACAGTTTTCCTAGGCCTAGTCCAAATCTCAGTGATTTTTGGGGTATTTTATCGATGACATTATTGGCAGGCATGCAGCAAACCTTGCGCGTACCATGCACCGCACATGTTTATATTGTGACGTCAGAGTGTGATTTCTTTTGATCCATTTGTACCATTGCACGGTGAAGTCACTTACCTCACAATATACTTTGTACATCGTTGGTGACGTCAGCCTGCAATGGTGCAAATTGATAGAAAGGAATTGCACGCCTGGAGAATGATGCCGTTTAACATTATTTTAAGCCCATGTCATGTGATTAAGAATTTACAAATGAGGTTGCAAGAATCTAAGTAGGCGTTGTATAACGCTTCTTAAAATGTGGCTACTTTTCTGTGGCAGTTTACAGCATCGTATCTGAACGAGCCTTAAAGATAAAGTTGAGTTTTGGTCATGCGATTGCATTGTGAAAGAAAAGGTGTTGAATGAATCAGAAAAGTTGATCATGTAGCATATAAGCAATTTGTGTGTACTGCAAGGTTCTGGAATCATCAAAATGATAAGAAATTCTGCCCAGTCATGATAAAAGTAACAGCACTGTACACAGAAAGATGTATATGGGACTACACAAACATTGATGCGGGGATTTGCTTAAGAAGAGGATTTGACCTTGAACGTAATGAATAACTTGATTGCTTGATGGGACAAAACAGACTAGAAAATATAGGATGGGATAAGGTTATACATGGATTTATAAACAAATAGTGCTACTTAATACATCATTCTCTCGGGAACAGGTAACCAGTGTTGTTGTTGACACATGATCATATCTTCTTGCATTTGATACAATACGGGGTGCACAATTCTGGATTTGTTGAAGTCTATCAATATCCGAAACATCAATATTTATCAAGAGAGAATTAGCATTATCAAGACGGCTTAAAACAAGAGAGCGAATAGCATGATGGCTTATGCCTCATCAGTTAACATCCTTCTGACCCTAGATATGTTATACAAATGAAAATTGAATAACTTACAAAGTGATGTAACCTGTTGAGACATGGTCAAAGAAGAGTACAACACCTAGAGTTCTGACTGATTCAGAGGGCTCAACCAAAGCGTCACCAAGTAACAAATGAACATGATCCGGTAAATAATGTCTAAGTCTAGGAGAAAATATCAAAAGAGACTCTGTTTTTTTTGTTTATTCAAGAGTAACTTGTTTCTTATTATCCATTCATTAACATCACTAACACATTTCTCTATCAATAATATTGCATTCAGAAAACTACTTGAAGATTTGGGGTTAAATGAATAATACAACCGAACATCATCAGCATATCAATGAAATTCAACACCATTATTCCTTAAGATGTCACCAAGTGGTCTCAAGTACAAAGTAAATAACAGAGGCCCCAATACGGAACCTGGAGGAACACCATATTTCAAACTAAATTTAGGAAACAATTGATTACAAATGAATTCTGCAAATGATCAACCCTCTAAGAATGATTGAAATCAGTGAAGTACTGTACCAGACAAAATGAAATCTGAGTGCAAACGATTCAACACCACTGAATGATCAATGGTATCGAAGGCAGACTTCAAGTCAAGCATGACCATAATTACACCTTGTCTGTTGTCAATTACTAAGATCATGCTTGTCTCGGAGTAACAAATGTGGTAGTCATTGTTAAGCTGCTACATGTCATATTTAGAATATGAAGGCATTTGAAGAGCCATGCCTTTCAGGGAACATTTTTTTTCTATAATGTTCTTCCACACTTGCATAATAACAATGAAAACACTCACAAATTATTTTTCACCTCTCCCAGAACTCAACCTTCTCTTTAAATGCCTCATGTCACAACTTTTGTTCCATTTTCTTCTGTATTGCTGTTATTCATTAGGGAGTAATCTTCTGACTGTTAGGAACAAAAAAGGTTTTACTCCAGTTGACATGGCTCAGACAGAGGTCATGAAGGAAGCTATTCTAGGTCAAAGGTCAGAGGTCAGCAGATTGTCTGCCGTTGACGAAAAGAATGAGAACGGTAAGTACCAAACCAGTCTTAACAAATATTCAGCAATTTTACAACAACAACAAAATTAACTTTATCTAAATGTGCTTTCTTAAAGCTTGTCAATATTGTGAGAGCAAAAGAGTAAAGAATAAGTGGGATTATAGCGTTATAATCTTAATATCGTAGAATTGATTATCATCTGTATAAAGCGTTGAAGGTTGATAGGTCATAGTTCATGATTGCCATACACTTGCTTTAGCCGCAGTGCTCCACAGTGATTGTTTATACAAGTTGGAGCCAACCCTGGAACTGACACACTTCTTAACACTAACCCCTATCTCGGTGTGAAACCAGATCATAACCTAAGCCCCATTTTACAGAATAAAGTCTGGAGAAACAGTCTGAATAACATAGGCCTCATTCAGATGTGGCCTGGCACAACCGCTGCATTTTAATGCCTCTGCTACAAAGTAGTCGGCAGCATTATGTTTTCTGGTTGTCTGTACGTCCCATTCTCGTGATTGCGTTATCTCAAGAACCAATTGATGGATTACTGCTAAACTTAGGTCATGTATGTATCTTGCAAAGGTAATGAACTGATTAGATTTTGGGGTCATGAGGTCAAAGAGCAAAGGTCACAGGGCTCATTATGTGTGCAAAAATAGCTTGTGATCGCATTATCTCAAGAAAAGATTGATGGATTACCGCCAAACTTGGGTCATGCATATATCTTGCAGAGCCAATGAACTGATTACATTTTGGGATCGCGAGGTCAAAGGTCACAGGGCTCATTATGTATGCAAAAATAGCTTGTGATCGCGTTATCTCAAGAACCGATTGATGGATTACCGCCAAACTTGGGTCATGTATATCTTAGAGAGCTAATAGACTGATAAGATTTTGGGGTCATGAGGTCAAAGGTCATAGGGCTCACTATGTTTGCAAAAATAGTTTGTGAACGCATTGTCAATACTGACAGATGGATTACTATCAAACTCAGGACATGTATTTATCTTGCATGGCCAATATATGAACTAATTAGATTTTAGGGTCATAAGGTCAAAGTTCAAAGGGTCATATATGTACAGTATATAACAAATAGTGTGTAATCATGATTCTGAGAACCTGTTACTGGATTGCAGTCTAACTTGAATTTTTAAAATTGCTTCTGTTTTGGTTTGTAAAATTGCTCTATGGTGGAGGCATTTCCGACTTCGTGCAGTCGAACATCCATCTACTTATTTCTATTTTTGGGTGACATAAAGTAAAATGAACTTGTTTTATTTTGTATCTACCAACACAAAGCTCAGTAAATACATGCAGAAAATTGTGCAGTGCACTTTAGCCATTCATTTACAACTTTGAAAGATGTGGGGGCCTTTTTGCTTCGGTTATAGCAATGTATCTGAACAACTTTAAGTGCCTCATGTCATCATTTTCAATCCATTTTCTTCTGTTATGCTCTTTATTTATTAGGGAGGATTCCACTGACTTTTAAGAAAAATACAGGGTCTACTCCAGTTGACATGACTCAGACAGAGATCATGAAGGCACCCATTCCAAGTCAAAGGTCGGGGGTAATCAGATTGCCTGCCATTGATGAAGAAAATAAGAACAGTAAGTACCAAACTAGACTAAACAAATATTCAGCATTTTTAAAACAACAATAAAAACAACCACATCAGCGGAATAAACTTGATTAAAAAGTGCTTTTTCGAAGCTTGTAAATGTTTGGAAAGAAAAAGAGCAAAGAATAAGTGTGGAATGTAGGGTTATGATCATAATATTTTAGAACTAATCCTCATCTGTAAGCGTTGAAGCCTGAAAGGCTGTGGTTTCTCAAAAGAGATATAGTTAAAATGTTTTTGATAGGTATCGTCGGCAAATGAATTTGATGTCAGGAATTATTTGCCACTTCTTCATGTTCATTTAAGTGCATAACCTACACATGACCAACAAATAAATTAATTTCACATAATAACCATCTGTAATAAATGAAGGTATCAGAGTGTGGGCTTTCAAAAAACTATTGTTATTAAGACTGAACTACCATGTGACATCAATGTTGGAGCTTATTTGGTCACTTAGTTGGGCTAGTGAAAATTGTTATTTGCTCAAAGGGGGTTGCCCTACCCCCGGACAACTACCCCCTATGACAACCATCCTCTAGGACGGCTACCCCTCGGACAACTATCCTAGGGGGTAGTTGTCTGAGGGGTAGTTGTCCGGGGTAGTTTTCCTAGGGGGTAGTTGTCCTAGAGGGTGGTTGCCCTAGGGGGTAGTTGTCCTAGGGGGTAGTTGACTGGGGGTGGTTATCCTGGGGTGGATGTCCAGGATAGGTGTCCTATAACCAAGTTGGAGCCAACCCTGGAACCGACACACTTATTAACACTAACCCCTATCTCCATGTGAAATAAAAAAATAACCTTAGCTGTATTTTACAAAATATAGCCTCTAGCAACAGCCTGAATACCATAAGGTCTTGTTTGTTTTATTTCTATTTTCAAGGTGACATATAGTGTCATGCGCTCAAGGAATTCCATATCTACTAACACAGAGCTTAGTGAATATGTGTAGGATCTTTTTGCAGTGCATACTAATTGCCTTTCATTTACACCTTGAAAAGATATGGCTGCTATTTGGGGCGGTTTACAGCAACGTATCTGAACGAGCCTTAACCCTATCTAGCCTAAGGGGGGGGGGGTAGAAGCCCCCCCCCCCTCTTCATTTTTCGTGATAATTCTGTACTGCAAACAAAATCTTGTGCTGAAATTATATGACTTTTTTTCTTTCGAATCTTTCACATTTATTGAAACAAATTTTTCGAAAATCGGACATACATGTACCGTTACAAAGTCATGTGACATTTTGTCTTTGCACGTCAGCCCGGAATTAATCGCTCATTTTCGTGATTTGTGTACAAAACAGAAGGAGATCTAATTTTTTCAAGAAAGGGATAAAACATTGCTTATTTGGTTTTGTTTAAAGTTTTGGTGTTTATTTTTGGGTCAAAATAATTGAATTATAGTTAGAAATGAAATAACAAAAACAATACATAAGTTTAAAAAAAGAAAAAAATACATAAGAAATTGTAAAAACAGTAGATAACATAGCTCTTCCAAATTTGTGTTCATGTATTATTATCTCAAATGGTCTAAAGAATATATGTAGTGAAAACTAATGTTGAAAACAATGTTTAAATATGAAGAATATATGATTTATGGGTAAAAATGTAAATTTTATTACCTTATTTGCATGAATTACAGTAAATATGCAAATCAGTGAATTTTTCGAAAAAATGAAATTACCATAGTATTCTATACACTTCACTTGGCAATCGGCCAAAATCATGGGGGGGGGGGGGGGGGAAATAGCCCAGGCTACAGAGGGTTAAAGGTGCTTTTTCAAGCTGAATAATATGGTTTTTGAAAGTGACAGGTTGGCAGCTCTGCTAATATGTGATGATACAAATTTTGCCGGGAAACCGCCTACTAATTGATATATTTTGGTAAATTATCATATCGATCCGGCCTGGATAGATATCGCAAATGCACTTCAACATTGAACATTTGGGCATATAATTTTGCCTTTTTGCGAATTTAAGTAAAAGTATTGACATCTTAACCTCTGAAGGCAATATGTAAACAATATTAAATGGATATTTTGCACCCAAAATCCTTGAATCTCAATTTTACCACTAATGGTCTATATCTTTAACTGACTCATGTCACCATTTTCTATTCATTTCCTTCTGGTATGGTGTTATTCATTAGGGAGGATTCTACTGGCTGGTGTTAGGAACAAGGCAGGGCTTACTCCAGTTGACATTGCTCAGACAGAGGTCATGAAGGAAGCCAATTTAGGTCTAAGGCCAGCGGTCAGCACATTGTCTGCCGTTTCTGAAGAGAATGAGAACAGTAAGTACTAAACCAGACTAAACAAATATCAGCATTTTCATAACAATGACAATATACCGGTGTGTTGGCTCAGTTAGTAGAGCGTCCGCCTCACAACCGGGAGGTCGTGGGTTCGAACCCCGGCCGCGTCATACCCAAAGACGTTAAAAGACAGGAGTTGCTGCTACCTTGTTTGGCGTTCAACAATAAGGGGATAGAGCAATGTCGATCTGGCGCTGCTCAGTGGCCGCCGGGCTCACGATCAATTGGGCAAAAAGAATTTCCATTTTCAGTTTAATAAAATTTGGAGTGGACTAAAAGATTATTATTATTATTATTATTATTATTATTATAACAAATTTAACTTGATCTAAAAGTGTTTTCTCGAGCTTTTTAATGTTGGGAGAGAAAAGGAGCAAAGAATAAGCGGCAAATAGGTTGTGATAGTTATCAGGGGCAAATGGTATTTTGTCTCAGATTCTGAAACAAAATCCTGGAATAGCTCATGCTGCAATAATAATTATAAACCTTTAGGTCAGTCAGGAACCCCATGACTTTTACAAGCAGATCGCCTGTCTGATTATCAAGATATTTATGATTGGAAATCGAAACCAAATTTTGCATTTTCCTAACAGTTTTCCTAAAACTGCAGTCTATTGGGGAAAACGATTATGGTTAAATCGGTCACACAAAGATTTTTACTTTTTTTGAGGCACTTCTTACCATATCACAGACACTGATAGCGCGTAGGGCCATGCATCTCAGATTTAACATTGCTAAACGATGCCTTTAAGATTGTGAGAATGTGATTTATCAATCTAAATTGTCACAGATATTGATCAATAAAGTTCTGAGAAGATATAAACTTGAAAAATAAATAATCAATTAATTTATTGTCACTTTGATTTCATGAAAAGAATTTGTTTTGAATGGTAAGAAATATTATTCCAGCTTTATTGGCAGTAATTTATATTGTATGCATTCATATTTATTTTTTCCCCCAATCAGATGCGAGCACTTCAAAAGCAATATATGTCAGGAGGTGAGCTTAGGCATTATCACAATCTACCAGGTTTACCAAATATTGATTGGGCAAATTTATAAAAAGAAATGTTTTCATACAGACTTTTTAACATGTTGCAGAGCAGTTTTTATGTGACTTTTGTTTTATCTCCTCACAAACAGTGACAAAGCTTTAAGAAATGTTTAGATATTTCATAAATTCGATGAATAGTTGACAGGAAACTCAACAGTTGTGAAAGTACCTAATATTATTATATTTATTGTACCATATATCTGTAGATATGTACCTTTGAATCAAAAATGTTTTCTTCTGTCAATAACGTTTGGAATTGCCCAAATTTGGAATTCTAGCAAAAATTTACTGTACCATTTTTTTCCTCTCCAATTTGTACAGGTCTCCAAGGAGAGTAAAAGGAGGTTCCAAACTTGATAGCAACACCACGGTTAAAGACAGATCAAGAAAGACTCTTCTTTCTTCAAAACCGAATTTAGGAAAAGATGAAGGTAACTATGTTACAAAGATTCACAGTAGAGATACTGTTTGAATATACTTGTCTTGTTCTGTTTTTATCAGAGATGGGCTTCGGAAGTCTGATACATTCTTTTACTTTAGATATTCCTTCAAAAAATGAATTGCATAATAATTAGATTTGATGTGCAGAGCAGGATAATTTAGGTAATAAGTGACAATCGCAAAGTTGATATGAATAAAATCAGGACTGTTATCTTTTCAGTTATTTTAGTAGATACAAATAAATCAAAAGTGTTTAACTCTTTGTGCGTTTGCCCATTAACCCCCTTTGCCTTGCAGTTATTTGCAGCGTGCACTGTGTCTGTAGTGTGATTGGGGCACAGATGCGTTTTGAAATGCAGGGCCGAGGGTGCACTGGTGCAAAAAGAACGCTTAACCCTATTTAGCCCGGGTTATCTTGAAACCGCATAGCCCAGGGGGGGGGGGGGGGGGGGGGGGGGGGGGGGGCTTCTAAGGCCCCCCCCCCATGATCTCGGCCGTGAAACGCCGATCGCCGCAAAAATTTACATACATGTCAAGTGAAGTGTATAGAATACTATGGTAATTTCAATTTTTTGAAAAATTCACTCATTTGCATATTTATGGTAATTTATGCAAATAAGGTCATACAATTCACATTTTTGCCCATAAATCAGACATTATTCATATTTAAGCATTCTTTCTCACTACATACATTTGTTAGACCATTTGGAATAATAATACAACGCAACAAATTGAAAAACCAGGGTTATTCCTTATGTTATCTATTGTTTTGATAATTTCTTATGTATTTCTTTGTTTTTTTAACTTATGTATTTTATTGTTTATGTTGTTTTATTTCATTTCCAACTATAATTCAACTTGACCCCAAAATAAACACCTCAACTATAAACAAGACCAAATAACCAATGCTTTATCTCTTTATTTGAAAAATGAGATTTCCATATATGTTTTGTACACAAATCACAAAAATGAGCGATTTTCGGGCTGACATGCAAAGACAAAAGGACACGTGACTTCGTAATGGTAGGTCCGATTTTCAAAAAATTTCTTTTAAAAGATGCGAAAGACTCGAAAGAAAAAGTCCCCAAATTTCAGTGCAAGATTTTCTTGCGCTAAAAAATAATCGCAAAAAATGTCGAGGGGGGGGGGGGCTTTAGAAGCCCCCCCCCCCCCTCGACATTTTTTGCGATTATTTTTTAGCGCAAGAAAATCTTGCACTGAAATTTGGGGACTTTTTTCTTTCGAGTCTTTCGCATCTTTTAAAAGAATTTTTTGAAAATCGGACCTACCATTACGAAGTCACGTGTCCTTTTGTCTTTGCATGTCAGCCCGAAAATCGCTCATTTTTGTGATTTGTGTACAAAACATATATGGAAATCTCATTTTTCAAATAAAGAGATAAAGCATTGGTTATTTGGTCTTGTTTATAGTTGAGGTGTTTATTTTGGGGTCAAGTTGAATTATAGTTGGAAATGAAATAAAACAACATAAACAATAAAATACATAAGTTAAAAAAACAAAGAAATACATAAGAAATTATCAAAACAATAGATAACATAAGGAATAACCCTGGTTTTTCAATTTGTTGCGTTGTATTATTATTCCAAATGGTCTAACAAATGTATGTAGTGAGAAAGAATGCTTAAATATGAATAATGTCTGATTTATGGGCAAAAATGTGAATTGTATGACCTTATTTGCATAAATTACCATAAATATGCAAATGAGTGAATTTTTCAAAAATTGAAATTACCATAGTATTCTATACACTTCACTTGACATGTATGTAAATTTTTGCGGCGATCGGCGTTTCACGGCCGAGATCATGGGGGGGGGGGGCCTTAGAAGCCCCCCCCCCCCCCCCCCCCCCCCTGGGCTATGCGGTTTCAAGATAACCCGGGCTAAATAGGGTTAAGCGTTCTTTTTGCACCAGTGCACCCTCGGCCCTGCATTTCAAAACGCATCTGTGCCCCAATCACACTACAGACACAGTGCACGCTGCAAATAACTGCAAGGCAAAGGGGTTAATGGGCAAACGCACAAAGAGTTAAACACTTTTGATTTATTTGTATCTACTAAAATAACTGAAAAGATAACAGTCCTGATTTTATTCATATCAACTTTGCGATTGTCACTTATTACCTAAATTATCCTGCTCTGCACATCAAATCTAATTATTATGCAATTCATTTTTTCTTGAAACCAGCATGGATGAACTACTAGTGCACGTTGCAGATTTGGTGCCGAACAATCTGCTTTACAAACTGGGTGCAGCATTGAAAGTGAATTACCCACAAATTGGGCGTTACATTGTACACAATAATAATGGATCCTGTAGCAATGGAACTTTGGAAATGCTGCATGTATGGCATTCAAAGCATGAGGAAAATGACATACAAGGCCTATCAGCAGTACTGGAAAAGATAGGGCTGAACAAGCTCTCAAAAAGCCTAAAACTCAATACTATTTAAAGACAGATAGGGTTGGGTAATCAGAGAACTGCGAAAGATCGATCTATTAGATAATATGTTAGATTTTGGATTTATCAAAATGATTACAGGTTGAGTGCAGTCTTGCTGAAAAATGAGGCCTACAGGCTACAGTACAAACTAATTAGGAACACAGCTATTGGGATTATACACTCTTATGGCACCAAATTTGGAACTAGAATTGAAACTATTGTACTAGTCATGATGAATAAAAGTACATATTAAGAGCAATAAATTTAATGTGACATTACTACTGTAATAATTTTTTATTGAGAAAAAATACAGAAAAGCTCACTCTTTTTTCACCTTTAAAGCTTATCAGTACTAGCTTACAGGAGGGATTAGAGCGCCCTGCAAGGTCACTGGACATGTGGTTATCTCATCAACTCAGCTCTCAAATAACATAAGAAAAAGAGGATCATGGGGGACCATGGTCACCAATTAGGCATTGTTTTCTATATAGAGGGAGCAAGTAGCTGCAAGTAGCTGCAAGTAGTGCAGTGGGCCTTTAACATAACCATTTTGTCACATACACTGCATACGTAATTGGTTTTAAGTATTTTTAAAGATGATTCTTTTAGCATTCCTCATAACTTTAAGCTAGTCTATTTCTACATATTTCATTCATGTCAGAGACCAATATTTTGTGATGAAGTATTAGGAGGATTGGGATGTAGGCAACAAGAATAGTTTGTCATTTCTCAATGACTTGTAGAAGTGGTAAATTCTTATAGATGTATTTCACATGTTTTATATTCATGTATCACAATCATGTGCGATGTACTGCAAGAATAGTGTAACAAATCAGGGTTTTAGTATTGGACGAAGGTTAAGCATTTTCTGTTGTACGCGCATGCGCTATAGCAATATGGCGCATCGTTGATTTAGCAATTACCAAACTGAAGGAAAATGAGCATAAATTACATATAACAATCATGTTGGTGCAATTATCATGTTTCTTTTGGGGATATTATTTGTATAGTAGTTATCTAATCAGGAATAAGGGGTTATACTGAAGATTATATGTGAAGATTTTATGGGATTAGCAGAAATGTTGTGTTGAAGTGTTGTTTTACTAACGAGGACATAATTGCCCTTTTATATTTTTATGTATAGTTAGTACGGCTAAGATTGTGTAATTAGGACTTTCCACTGCACTGTATCCGATGCAGGCCAGCCTCACCGAGGCTGGCCTTATTATTTGGCGTTGGCCTTAGTCTTTAGTTGAGTCTTACATCTAGTCTACACTTACTTGTGTTGATCGAGTTTACCCTGAATATTGGTTGGTTCGCATTAAAGGAATTCGACATGCAACTCATGATTGGTCTGATTTCTTAGAAGAGTGCAACCGTAGTTAGACAATGAGATCGAGAATCAGTGACAGGAGTTGACAAAGCATGGTGACTGATCGGTGATTGATTGATTGATTGCTCGAAGGATGTTCAATTGACTGTTGCTGTGCACAACGATTGGGGTGACCGATTGCAGTCGAAGGATGCATGATTGTTAATACGCCCTGTGACGTGAGCAGTAAAAGAACTCCAGCCATCAAGCTACGGGCATATATTTTGTCCAAACGAACAACGGGGAGCGCCAGGCCAGACACAGGCATCCTGACAAATACTCCATGTCAAGCCAAGGTGGCGAATCGTGTCCGCCACAATAGTTTGTTAAAGATAAACTTGAGTTCTGGTAATGCGATTGCATTGTGAAAGAAAAGGTGTGGAATGGATCAGAAAAGTTGATCATATAGCATGTAAGTAATGGTGTGTAATGCAAGGTTCTGGAGTCATCAAAATCATCATAAATTTGGCAGAGTTTTGGTAAAGTAACGATCACACAGAAAGATGTATATGGGACAACCCACATGGTGTCGGGGCTAGTACTACCCCGATTTCCTTATCTTTCTATGCTCATTACTCAGCCAGTATACATTTTCTTCCAAAATTGTTTGGCACATGACATTTATTTGTAATCTTGAACATTCAGTGTAAGTTTCGTTAGATACTGTGAGAATTCATTTTCTTTTTTTACCAGAACTCAAGTTTATCTTTAATTTCCTTGTGAGTTGTAGAGAATTGGTACATTTTTTACAGTGCTTGTTTAGCACTGTTGGTAAGTTGTCCTCAAACCTCAGCCGTGTTTGTGCATGCAGTGTAGGCCTAAGTCTAGTTTCCATATGAACTTCAATTCCGTAAGTATAAGTGTATAAATCAATAAAGAGGTGATATTCTATTTTTATTTGAGCATATTCATCATGGTTGATATATCATGTGAATACCGTAATTAACGGTGTATATATATATATATATATATTTTTTTTTTTTAAAGTTTCGATTTATGCCCCTCCACCTGGCGCTATGCCTGGCAATGTCTCCCAGCTCAGTAATTGGTGTGTTGACTCACCACTCAGAAACTAGAATAACACTCAAGTTTGTCTGTCGTCTTGGTTTGAAAGTAATCTTTCTGATAGATTTCAATATGTAGTTGATAATAATTCCTCCAATTTTACACGGCGTACCACAAGGTTCTATCCTAGGTCCTCTACGGTTTTTTAAGTCGGCAAAAAAGGGCGAAAAGAGGGGTGCGGTTAATACACGAGGGCGGTTTATACAACGTTAATTACGGTATGCATTACCGATACTTTAATCGCACTTCTATATAAGTTCTTGCACAATTCTTCCTATAAGTTGACTATATTTACAAGTAGCCTGATATTAAAACGTGAGAGAAAGAAATTTTCTACTGAGATATTTTGTGTTGCAAGAAATACTACTTTGTCTCAATATTGTTACGATGATGTCACAGTTTCATATGGATTTACATTGGAATTTGTCTGTGTCCATACAAAATAATGCTGAAGATTTTGTAAGTACATGTATTGCTTTGTTTTGTTTATATCTATTTTGATAGTTACATTGACATTGGTACACTTGATTAATATGTGCACGCATAGATTTATCGTTACACTGCATACTCCATGTATATACCCCATGATATATTATTAGTTAAATTACATTTTTACGGCGTAATAAGAGCTTTACCTAACAAATGGTTTCAAAGTTATCTTGCCGAAAGGAAGCAATTTACATCTGTAAATTCTCATTGTTCTTTTTTCAATCTAATATCATATGGCGTCCCTCGGGGCTCTATTTTGGGGCCTTTTTTATTTTTGATTAACATCAATGATATTGTAAAATGTTCCACTTTCTGTAAATTCACACTTTTTGCAGACGATACGACTATTCTTGCCTCAGAAAAAAAAAAAGATCTATTAACCCATAAACTGAATATTAATTTGGAGTATACGAATGGCTAGTTTGCAATAAGCTGTCTTTGAATGTTTCTAAGACTAAATTTGTTATTTTCAAAAATGCTAGGAACCTAAATCATGTATATGACAATGTATCTATTTCTATCAACAATAGATTAATTGAACAGTGTAGAGTTTATAATTACCTTGGAGTACTTTTCGATGAAAACCTATCTTGGACTTCTCATATTAATTATATTACAAAAAAGGTTTCTCAGAGCGTCGGTGTTATTAATTACTTAAGATTTGTTATTCCACTCTGTATCTTATTCATATGTTATATAATGCATTTATTTTGCCATATATTATGTATTGCAATTCTGTTTGGGCGACGAAACATCCCTCTAAGTTACTCAAATTACATAGACTTAAAAAAGGGCATTACGACTCAGCTTTAATTCCCCTTTCTTAGCTCCCTCACAACCTTTATTTAGAAAATTCAATACTTTACATATTTATGATATTAATAAATTGCAAATTGCGTCATTGATGCAACAATTTTTCCCAAACTCACTACCTCCAAACCTTATGCACCTATTTAGTCTCAACAATGTGGTCCATACCCACTACACAAGAAATGCTGATAAATTCCATCATGGGAATGCTTCGTCCAATATACTAACCGATTCTCTCCGTTATATTGGTCCAAAAATGTGGAATTCCCTACCTCCATTTTTACAAGCTGTCGGATTTAATAATTCTTTCAAAAGGCTTTACAAGAAACATCTTCTCTCTCTGTATAACGCATAATTTATTTTAAGACCACACCTAGATCTATATTATTAATACTCCCCCTTTTTATTTTCCTTTTTATTTTTTTTCTTCTCTTCTTCCAAGTATATGTTATTATTACTTCTGCGCCTGGTGCATTCAATTGTCAAGCCTTACTTGCGTTTACGGATGCACCATTTTCCATTTGTATTATGGTTTAAACCTTCATATTTTCTTTATATTTTGAATGCTGTACTTATATCAATTTATATGTAATTTTGATATTGTTACGTGTTATGAAATTCCATATTTCATCTTTGTATATATTGTCATGATGATGGAAATAAATTTCAATTCAATTCAATTCGAAGTATGTGCAACTCAGAATAAGAAGGGAAATGTTAATGACATAGTTTATCTCATAAAATGCTGTTAAAGAGGAAAAGCTGAAAACGTAAAATAATAACTACATGCATTTCTTATGTGTCACATGTACAGGTTATGATAATGTCCAGTAATGTTATCAATATTATACAATTTTAATATGATGATGCTTTTGTCCTTGTGTGGATACTTTTTGTCATTCAGTCAAAATTATTTGTCTGCAAAGTGTAGATATGTTGCAGGGGGGGGGGGGGTTGAAGGCAAGAAGGGAAGATTGAGTTAGAGAGATAGAGATTAGGGAGAGAGAGAGAGAGAGAGAGAGAGCAAAAGACAGTGAGTACATAGATAAAAAAAATAATCGAGCGAGAGAATTGAGGGGGGGGGGGGGGGTTGACATGAGAGAAAAAGTGGATGAAGGATACTTCGGTAAAGAGGATAAAAGAAAAAGTTGTGATGAGCATATGTCCCAATTGCAGGCCGAAAAAATGAAAAGGTTAAATTGGTGTATATTGGTGGCTCTGCTACTTGCATGGTTTCACTCGGTCCATCTTGTGTCCAACTTGAGCCAGGTTGGCCATACTCTCCTAAGATGTAGTTTTTCGCACTGCATTGCGACCTCACAAATCTTGAAATGTTTGCTCGCTTGCTTCGCTCGCACGCAAATCAATATTCATTGAAATCATCGCCTGATAATGTAATCACGATGTAGGGGTAATCACGATAATATAATCACCAATGTCTAAAATTACATATTTTCGCTTTTCAGGTTTCCCTAATTTGTAGGTGCCCCTTTTTCAGAATACCTGTTTTTGTTGGTGCCACCCCCCCCCCCCCTATCCGGGGGACGTTCCGCGCGCCACCCTGTAAACTTTCCCAAATGGTTAAAGCGTTTAGTTAAATTCCTTTGAGGCAGTAGCGGTTCTACCCACCCCCCTCTCTCTCTCCCCCCCCCCCCCCCCCAAAAAAAAAAAGAGAAATTATTTTTCCAGAACCACTCCTCAGTTCTCTGAGTGTTTCATTCGCCCGGCGGAACGTTTTTCAAAGTGGAGTAGAACGCTCAGGTAGAGCGTAAATTGGCGTGGGGGTTTTAGGTATTTAATTACGGTCAGATGAGCACCCATGGAACCGCCCTAAGGCTCTTGGTGGGGTCCGGGGGCGGAGCTCCCGTAAGCTCTGGGGTTTTAGACATTTAATTACGGTCAGATGAGCATACTTTTTCCCTGTAACATACTTTTTCAAAAAGTAAGGGGGGCTCGAGCCCCCGAGCCCAGCCGTTCTGCAGGCCCTGACATGAAGGCTTTTATAAAATAAGCATATTTTTCGCCCGACTGTAAATTTGGGAATTGCGTTTTGCCCCCCACCCCCACTTTTTTGTTTTGGGGGCAAGTGCCCTGCTCCCCCTCCCCCACTTCCGGCACCTATGGGAAACTCAACAGTTGTGAAAGTACCTTATATTATTTTATTTATAATTGTTCCATTGATCTGAAGATATACGGATAACCTCGCGTATGACGATTTTCTCGGGACTGACTGAAATGCGTCGACTTACGGAATAATAGACTTGTGCGTAAGTCGGAGAAAATTCGACTTACGCATAATTATGTAGTATTGTCCTAAGTGTATATACACAAGACGCGGCCACTCGTAATATAATCAATGGCTTAAGCGCACGCACATGCATGCAAAGACAGGGGAGTTATCTGATTGCACAGACAGTTCCTGTCAACGTTCTTTCGATCGGACCTGGATTCATGTTTCATTCTGTCATTTTAGAGGGTGAGTAATTCTCAGACATTCTGTTGCAATATTATATGTTAACTTTATTCTGTAAGCAAGAAGTATAAGAATCAACTGTTTTCTTTTTTCTTTTGACTGTAATTGTTTTGGGACCCCGATTAAGATCAGATCACATGAACTTTGTCGGTTGGTCTGAAGCGGCTCATCCATCGATCTTCATTTTATTTTCTAGGACAGTCCTTGTAAAATATTGTTTTTTCATGTATTATGATGTTTGTATTTCATATAATATGATCGTAAATAAGACCAAACCAAATCAACCAAACCATTGTCTCAGTTAAACCAACATGGTAAATTGTAGCATTTATCTGTACCGTCTCCATATGTATTAAAATCTATGAGAAAATATCAGTGCTAGCTATTATCTCTCATGAAAATTGCAGAATATTGATATCACAATTTGCTTTGCAATCATTATGTTTGACTCTAAAAAGCCTATAATAATTGGGAACTATATAAATTACAACCGATAAACATTAGTTATTGACGAAGCATGGTGGCATTCCGACCACATCTTGCCATGCATGATTTTTTTTTTTTCATTTTTATTTCATTTATTTATTTAAGCACGGTCACTCTCTCAGCCTATCGGTTGATTTTCAGAAAGTCCGTGACTGAATAAAAATATACAAATTATATCACAAAACAAATTCCAGTAACAAAGAAAACATGAATTATTATAATGTACAAAATAAAAATTAACAATAATGAATAAAAAGTAAATAATTAACAGAGAAGTGTATTGTAAACCGAGAGTCTGATTGACTCTCCTCCCAAGGGTCAGCCCCCACCCCCCCCCCTCCCCCGCTACCTAGGTGGTGACATGATCTGTTTTCTAAAAACATTTTTATTCTCTATGGATTTCAGTTCCTGTAAAATTGTGTTCCAGCATTTCGCTCCTTTATAACTTGAACTCCTTATTTTATAATTCGTTTGGCCTTGAGGGAATGCAAAGTTATGAAAAGAGTGTCGGGTATTATACACAGGGTTGCGCTTTTCAAAGAAATGTAAAATAGGTTTTGGTGCATTATTATAAAATATTTGGTGCATAATTATTAATGTCCTTTTTTTAATCTTTCTAAAATGTTATCTAACTTCAAAAGTATGAACAACTGATCTGTTGGGAATCTTGGGTCTTTCCTTAAACAGTTTTGAGCGCTTTATTTTGTAAAGTTTGAAGTTTTCTTAAGTTTGTAACCCCTGTATTTGCAAAGACTTTATCACAGTAATCAAAATGACATTGTATCATGGATTTATAAAACAATTCCGCTTGGCGTTGTGTAATAATCGGACGAATTCTCCTTAACATATACAATTTAAACAAAACTTTTCTTCTTATTTCGTTGATATGTAGGTTCCAACTTAGATTCTCGTCTAGAATTACGCCAAGATACTTACACGATGAAACTCTCAGAATGGGTATACTCTCTACTAGTAAATGTATATTAGGATCAAGTCTGTTTAACTTACTCCTGGTTCCTACGACAAGAAACTCACATTTCTTAACATTTAATTTCAGTTAAGATATTCACATACGGATTCTAGGTCTTTGTTTAAAGTCGTTGTCAACTCTTGAACATTGTTACTACTGAAATATAAACACGTATCGTCAGCATACATTAATACCTTGTCCTTTCTTCCTCAAACTGACGATATGTTTTTACAGACGCCTAATGACGCCTTTGTAAAATGTATATATTCATAGACTATAGTAATTATAAATATGTCTATACTTATAAGGTACACCCTTTGCTATGGAGCGGCCAAAACAGGGGGTACAATCGATTTTCTCCAAATAACCTTGGTTGAATGAACAAGAAGAAGATCCTAACTTCAATGCAACGATACATCTTAGTTTGCAATAATCGATAAATGTAAATGCGGCTCAACCACATGGTCTATTGTATATATTTGGAAGGTACAATCCCTTGGCAGTCGATGTGCGTATTGTGTCTGCACTCTGCACTTACTAGACTAGGGCCCCGTTGCATAAAACTTACCATTGATAGTAACTTTGCCATCATGCAATGGCAACTACCATGGTAACAGGGCTCAACAGCCAATCAAAATCAAGGGTTTCCATGGTAGTAACCATTGATGGCAAAGTTACCATCAATGGTAAGTTTTGTGCAACGGGGCCTGACCAGGTATTTATGCAGATACATTTTTAGATAACTTTTGTTAGGGCTGCAAATCTCTAATCATATTTTGTATTATATCATGAATAAAATAAATAATAAGGTCTTTAATCGGAAGAGCATTGGGATGTTACATCATATAATGTCATATGTGCTATTACAAGAATGGAATATTATGACCAATATCATTTTGTCTAGAAACTCGAAATTTGTTATGAACCTTCTTACTTATAAAGGTGGACGAAGCATTGTATTTGGTTAATAAAGCCATTGGTAATACAGTATAGCCTGCTATAGGCATTTCGCAGATTCTCATAATGAATTGACGATGCTTTGGGTTTTACCACACTGCTAGGAAAGCATGTGTATTATTCTTGATAATCAGCAACTATAGGCTTCGACGGCTTAAAGTCCTCTCCGATGGACTTGGTAATGAACCTTACAACACCCCCACCCCTCCGAGTTACCTGTATTGCTTGTCTCCTTTTTATTTCTCTTTAAAGGCCCACTGCACTATACTTGTAGCTACTCGCGCCCTCTATATAACAAGCCATGCCTAATCGGTGACCATTGGTCCCCCATGATCCTCTTTTTCTATGTTAACTGAGAGCTGAGTTGATGAGATAACCACCTGTCCAGTGACCTTGCAGGGCAGTCTAATCCCTCCTGTAAACTATGGCAGATACGCTTTAATATCGTCTAAATTTGTTACTGTTTGTATGTTTTGTACTTTGCGTAGCTTTGACCCCTAAAACCAGCGATATTATCATGTAGTTATTGCTAGACAGGGCTGTCCATCCGTGTTTATTATACATGTAGGTCTACGTATAATAATGCTAAATACAGATGCAGGCGCCTATCCAGGATTTTCCAATAGGGGGGGCCGGAAATTTGAAAATTGCGCAGACAGTTTTTCAACTCAACATACCAATACTGACAAGGTCATATATTTTTTTAACATTTTAATCGGGGGGGGGGGGGGGCTGAAGCCTCTTGCCCGAAAAAGTAATTTTCTAGTTTCACAATTCCGCTAGTGAGCGAGCGAGCAAAAATTTGAGGATAATGATGTATTTTGTGAAAGTGTTATTTATCACCAAAATATACGATAAAAGATATAACAAATTCATATTCGGGCAGCTCGCTGTCCCCTCCCCCCCCCCCCCCATTACGCGCGAAGCGCAGAAGCTTTAATGTTCATGAAATTATTAGAGAAAGAAGAGGATTCGTTGTACCGTTCTCGTTGTTAATCATTGTCTGAATTCAGTTTCCATACCCCCTCCCGCGCAAAGCGCGGAAGCTTTGACGTTTCATTAAATCATTAGAGAAAGAGTACCGTTCTCGACTCTTAATCCTTGTCTGAATTGAGTCCCCCCCCCCCCTTACCTCTCCCGCGCGAAGCGCGGAAGCTTTGACGTTTCATTAAATTATTAGAGAAAGAAGACGATTCGTTGTACCGTTCTCGATTCTTAATCATTGTCTGAATTCAGTTTCTATACCCCCTCCCGCGCGAAGCACGGAAGCTTTGACGTTTCATTAAATCATTAAAGAAGAGTACCGTTCTTGACTCTTAATCCTTGTCTGAATTGAGTTCCCCCCCTCTCCCGCGTGAAGCGCAAAAGTTTAACGTTTCATTAAATTATTGGAGAAAGAAGACGATTCGTTCTACCGTTCTCGATTCTTAATCATTGTCTGAATTCAGTTTCCATACCCCCTCCCGCGCGAAGCGCGGAAGCTTTGACGTTTCATTAAATCATTAGAGAAAGAGTACCGTTCTCGACTCTTAATCCTTGTCTGAATTGAGTTCCCCCCTCTCTCTCGCGCGAAGCGCAGAAGCTTTGACGTTTCATTAAATTATTAGAGAAAGAAGACGATTCGTTGTTCCGTTCTCGGTTCTTAATCATTGTCTGAATTCAGTTTTCCTCCTCCCGCGCGTAGCGCGTAAGCTTCTTTCGCTTCATTAAATAAATTATGAGAGAAAAAAGATGATTCGTTGTCTCATTCTCGATTCTTAATCCTTGTTTGAATTCATTTTCCACCTTCCGCGCGAGGCGCGGAAGCTCTGACCTTTCAAAGTTTAATGAAATTATTAGAGAAAGAAGATAATTCGTTGTTCCATTCCCGACTCTTAATCCTTCTCTGAATTCAGTTTTCCCCTCCAGCGCAAAGCGCAGAAGCTTAACGTTTCATTAAATTATTAAAGAAAGAAGATGATTTGTCGTCCCGTTTTAGACTTGTCAAAAATGTTTCTTTGTCTGCTCCTTTTTTCGTCCTATGTCCTCTTACTGCCCCTACCGCCCCTAGCTACGCATGCTTTAAAGGAAAATGAAACAATCATGATTGTGATAGCATACAATAATTAGGTCAGTAGAAATGAAAGGGGAAAAAAGATCTATGTATACACCAACCATGAAATAATCGCGACCGGGAGCGTCATATCTTAGTTTTGTGTTATCGGGCGAGGGCCGGAGCGGAGCGACCAAGCGAGATTTTGCAATGTAGAATGCTAAAATTATGCATTGTCCAATATGTACGTTCTTTCCGCTACATGTATATTTCTTTCTAGCTATATATCTAAATTTCCGGGGGGACGTGTCTCTCTATCGGCCCAGGATCGCCGCCGCTGTCCATTATCACTACCCACATGAGTTCAAATATAAGCACAAGCGAGTTGGTATGAGCTGAATCCAAATGAAGGGCAAAATAAGAGTTGTGAAGCGGCCCTACCGTTAATTTAAAATTTGACTGTTTAGTATATAGCTTCTATTTGAAAGACATCCAAAACATTGTGCCCTTTTCAATTTTTTTCAAAAAGCAGGGGCTGTTTGTAACGTTTAACTTTGAAACCGTGGCTCGAAATTTTATGCGGCCGGCCCGGCCCCCTCTATCAATAACGTTTCCCAAGCCTTCTGGAATGACCCCAAATCTCCCGATTACTGTCACTTAGCGCCATTTCCTTGTCTTTCCCCCCTTTTCACCCGACTTTTCTCTTCCCCTTCCCACCCCCACCCCACCCCCCCCCACCCATTCAGTGTTATCTAGGGTATGCGCATGTATGTTCCCTCTCTGAGTTTGAAAGCACCCCTTTATCTTCGGTGTGTAGAGTCAGTGCGGGCCGGATTTGTGTGTATTACGGGCCGGACTTTGTTGCGTGAAAAGTAACCCTTTATCGGAAATTTTGGGAACACAAAATCGGTCCCTCCGACCCCGGAGTGGGAGTGAGGTGGGGGGGGGGGGGGATCCTCTTTTTTTTCTCTCTCTCTCTCTCTCTCTCTCTCTCTTCTTTCTTTTCTCTTCTCTTTTCTTTTCTCTTCTCCTTTTTTCTTCTCTTCTCCTTTCTTTTTTTTTCTCTTTTTTTTTTTGCGCCGCCAATAGGGGGGCCGCGGCCGTTTCGGCCCCCCCTGGATCCGCCACTGCAGATGGATGATACATTTTGTTTTTTATGTTTCATTTTTTTATACTGAAAATAAAATACTACTACTACTACTACATGTGATGCTTTTGCAAGGGGAATTAGGGCATACCTACTTGGTTTCGAACCTGGGACCTCCCGGTTACCATATCAATGCGCTACCTCTGAACCATTGCGAATCCGCTATAATTGCTGAAGATTTTCCTTGTCAAGAGTTGTAAGAAAGATAAAGACAAACAATTATTATTGTTACGTCATCCACCATTGCAACCACTTCAATCAAATGTTAGTTTTATTCATGGGAACCTAAAAATTACAAGCTGAGCTTTTTAACAGGTTCCTCACAATTCACCCTGTATAACCTTCTACTAAATACAATTAATTTCGACGTCTTTTCAAATAATTAATTATTATATAATGTGACACTTTTAGTATATTTCATATTATGTTCTAATTTTGTCAATTTTGTGAATTCTTTTTTGTGAAATGTGAAACAACACGTGAAATAATCACGGAACTCATTTGTTTTTAATTCGTCTGTCATTTATAAATAATCTTCCTTCTTCTTACAATCCTTGATATGCCTATACAAGTTTGAATCATTTCTTTAATGAACTTTAATCTAACAATGACCTCCAAATTCTGCTTGGTTTCCTCTAGGCACTATGTACATGAATACCACCATGAACGTTAAGACTCTGTGGACTCGTATGACCATCGTAGGTGGCGCCCTGTTAATGATAGTCCTCTTCAAAGCTTATGTTGAGCTGAGGCTTTATCTGATCTCTCTCACCTATTCTGAAAACAAATATGTCGCAGCCGTGGGCAGAGTTCCATACCGAAATGAAACAGTCCGACCCCAATCGATTGATGATTACTACGAATATATACCAGAATTAGAAGATCTTAAACTAAGCCCGGATGTTCTGAAGACAGCAGCAGTTAATTGGGATATCAAATCTGATAGTGACGCAGATACATCATGGATTAGGAAGATGTTGAGTAATAAGAGAGCTAGAACTATGTTCGAGGCCAATAGGTTGTTGTACAAGCTCCAGGATTCGGCTCTTCGTAACTCCAGCACTGATTGCGTCATCAAGATATTGCAGATGTGTAGGGAGTCGTGCCTGCAGCGTACTTCCAAACACTTCTGGACGAGATCAAAATGTAAGTTCTCCAACTGTCGGATTGAGATGAAGGTTGGGAACGACCTGGCGGACTTTCAACAGAGTGACGTTGTGATCTTCCACATCGCCTATAATCGAACCTGGGCATCGCTAGTCAAAACCCGGTTGCCTGGGCAGCTCTGGGTGTTCCATTCGAAGGAAGCTCCTATCCATGGACCACAGGCGAGCCCTCCAAGAGAGTTCGGTAATCCGTTCAATATCTCGATCTCTTATATGAGCGAGTCGGACATCGCTCCTGGATACTACTACCTGGACACAGAGCAGAAGGACAAAGACCCGAAGGTTCTTCGAAAGGAGAAGTTGATGTTATGGGTTGCGAGCAATTGCAACGACACTAGCTGGGCCAGGAGAGATTTTGTGCAAGAACTCCAGACGTACTTGCCGATCGACACCTATGGTCTATGCGGGCATCTGGACTGCCCCCGCTCGGAGAAAGAATGCTGGGAAATGCGGGGACAATACAAATTCCACTTAGCTCTAGAAAACAGCCAATGTCCAGAGTACATCACTGAAAAGCTCTGGTTTAACTCTCTCGCCGTCGGCACCGTTCCGATTGTGTTCGGAGCGCCGAAAGCCGATTACGAGCGACTGACTCCGCCTCACTCGTTCATACACCTCGATGACTTCAAGACCGTTCAAGAGTTCATCGACTACATCCATCTCCTGGATCGCGACCAGCAAAAGTATCTGGAGTACTTCTCGTGGAGAAGGTTAGGTCACGTGATGAAGGGGTCAACCATGTTGACCAATCACACTGCGGATAACGGAAAGATCTTGTGCTTTATTATCAGGACTTTGCTCATAAAATCATTGTTTCCAGAGATGTACCAGTGGCAGGCTCGCCATCCTGTGTTCTATGATTGGTGGTACGGGATGTGTAGGGAAGATACGCAGAAAACACGCATTATGGATATTGATGTAACCATGAAAACAGATATTGCAGTCTAAATGCTGTCGTGAATGTTATGCACTTGCATTATAGAGACAAACTAAACTAATCATTGCCTCCTGAAATAAAATGTTAATCTGATCAATTATGATGGTATCAAATTCAAGATAATGTGTATATTATCATAATTGTTATTGTTATTATCATAATTTCTATTATCATTATTATAATTTCTATCATTATTATCGCTTCTATTACCATTATCATTGCTATTATCATTATTATAATTTCTATTTGTATTATATTAGCGTCATCGTCATCGTCTCCATCATCACCATTATTACCGTTTTTACATGAATAGTCGAATGTTTAATAAACCTTGTCCAATTGTTTAAAAAGGAAATTGCCTTTCATCTCGATTGAGAAGCTAGGGCAAAATTTGGGGGTAGATTGTTTTAATAAAAGGAAATAACACATAATTTCGATTCTGTATAATAATAATTATGCTCAGAAAAATGAAACTCTATTTTCTTTGTAGGTATTCAGTATTATTCTGAAAAAGGAATGCTTCTTCTAGTTTTTTGGAAGAAATAAATGTGTAGTACGGTAATAGTTTTTTTTATTATGTAATTGGGATATATTTTAATCCTATACATTGTGAAATTATAAACCATGAATTATGTTGTATTTATGTTCGTTTTATCAAACGATAAAAAACGCTTTGTTGTAATTATGTTTCAGTTTATATAAACTAGGACTATGGAAATACTTTGCTTCTATCTTATGTACAAAAAGGAATTGGAGTTTTGAAAAATAAATTATTATAAATGAATACAACAAAATAGTTCAAAGTTTGAAGTTTAAACATCAGGTAACATATGGCCAAGCTAGGTAAGTATTTCAGAATTTCCAAAGGATCGACTCCATTTGTTTAATGTTCAAACCTTCCAGGAGAAGTCCTGCCGCGGCGCTAAAGTCCTTTGGCAAGATATTTGCCACTCTCCACCCAGGTGTACGGTAAATGGTTACCCGGTAGGATGAAGCACCTTATCGGAACCGCTCGGCTAGTATATAACTATTACGGCGCCTACAATATCAAGCGCTGTGTGAATATTATCATTATTGCTATTATGGTAATTGTTGTTATTATTACTATTGTTATTATTACTCTGATTAATTATCATTGTTATTAGTGTTATTATTATTATTTTATCATTAGTACGTAATGCGCCTTTTTCATATTCGCACATTTCAATAAGTGACGCACAAGTTCTTTTGGAATTGCCTTGAAGATACTATGTCCCTTTTGCAGCCAACATCAAATTCTGTAGAAATTTGCAAGAATTATGAATATATAATGTTTGATCTATCTGTGAAATATAAACGTTAGCAGTGTCCTAATATTCAAATTATCCAAGGAAACCCCGTTTACTTGCTAGACTTCACTGTCAGACACTATTGAGTGACTGACTGGCTTGTTTTCCTGCTTTGGTAATAACATACATAAAATTAGCTGTAAATGGTACATGAGCATTTGTCTATACATCAATAACTCACTTCTTGTATTGGCCAAAACTAAACTGATTGAATATTTGCACAGCATAAAACGTACATTTGGTACAATGGTCTAAAAATGAGACTATTATTTACTGTATTGGTATCACTTAAGTCGCTTCGAAAAATTAGGTCCAAACATAATTTCTAGCGATTGTTAATGACGTTAATCCATCTTTCCAGAACTCAACTACCTTCAGATATGTGGATCACCTGTCAGTTGTTGAATGTAATGCAGGGCTCCCACTTAGCCGAGTTGGAGCCTCGAGTTGTGGCGAGCTGGCGCGAGCTTATGGCAAGCCGTTTTATCTCTCCCATGCAGTTGGTAATATTATTAGATACCAGTATCAATTACCATCTTTATGCAGATGACACCCAATTGTATACTTCCTTCAATCCCAAAATCCCAGGAGACTTAGTTGTTGCTTTGTTTAGACTTCAAAATTGCATTTCAGATATTGGAAATTGGATGTTAGTTAATAAATTGAAGTTGAATGACTCAAAGACAGAATTCTTTGTAGTAGCCTCACCTCACAGTTTACGCAATCTACCAGATCTTAAGCTAAAAGTTGGTGATATATTCTTAAACCCTTCAATCACTGTTAAGAATCTAGGTGTTCTCTTGGATAGAGAAATGTCAATGTCAGATCGCGTCCCTCAAATATTATGTACTAGATGATTTGAACCTTGAATCTCTCTCTGATTGCTTGTCGTTCTTCCAAAAGACCTTACTCTACACTGATCAATTTAAACAGTATTTCCCTCCGGAAAATAATTCAAGAACATTAAGACGTAAACCTCAAATCCCTGAACTGAGATGTAAAACTAAACAAACACAAAATAGTGCAATTCCTTACCTCATCCGTGCACTTAACCAAAGAAAACGAGGAATGATCCTCCTTTTCTTGTACCCTTCAGGCTTGCCAATTTCATCATCTTTTTGTTTTGATTTGCTTTGTTGTTCTTTGACACCCCTCTTTTTCTTCTTCTTCTTCCCCTCCTTCTTCTACTTCTTTTGTTCTTCTTTTCCTTTCCTTTTTTCCCTTGTATTTCTTTTTCTTTATTTCTAGGCTTATTTCTTCCTCTCCTTATTTTTTCGTTTGTTCTTCTTTCCCTTCTACTTTCCCTTCTTCATTCTTTGATTTTATTGCCTTGCCTTTGTCTGTGTTCACACTCCTACCATGTTTGTATTGTTTTTGTTTAATGACATTTTATGTATTTTAAAACTCAATTTTCCATAGTTTTACCATATGGAATTTAACTTTTTTGGAATTTAACTGAATCTATCATGACAAAGTTTACCACCCTCTTCACCCCATCTCTTGTACACTTTAGGCATGGTTATATATTTCCACTTTGTTTTGCTCTTTTATTATTTTAACTCTTTTATCTTTATCATCTCTTTCTTCTTCTTCTTTTTCCTCTTTTTTTTCTCCTTCCATTTCTTATTCTGCTTCATTGTCTTCTTCTTCGTATCCTTCTATATGAATTTTCCATTGTCGCTTTCTACTACTTTTGTCTATACCTTTCCCCCTCTCAGCCTTTACTCTTCCTCTTTAAATCTCTCCCACTCTTAATTTCAATAATTTACATTGTATTTGCAAACTCTTCAACTTTCAGTTTTACTCTCGTACTCTCGATATTTCCCACCACATACACTGCTCCGTTTACCGTTTATTGCTTACTTCAGTCCTTCTTCTTTCACATGATTTCAGTAGAACTATGTTACTTTATGCTAATTAATTTTCGATTTCTTTCTAATTTGTGTTTTCATACGTTGCAATGAGCTATATTTCTCGTATTTATACTGATTTATTGTTCAAAATTATCTATATCGTGTTGTCTATATACTACATTATGTGTTATTAAGTTTGTTTGTAAACTTTTGTAATTCGGCTAAATGCCGCGATGAAAATTTTATTTGAAATAAACCATTTGAATTGAATTTAATTGAACAACTAATAGTGTTGTTTTTCCACTTAAAGACAATTTCAAGCTCCCTTTTTTAGGGAAGTTCTAAATTGGTATTATCTTTCAAATGCCGTTTGAATTTAACCTTTTTCATTTGTTTGGCCTGCAAATGTAAATCTAACCCCACGGGAATAACTTTATTTGTTTTGAGAGATTTATTGCATTCTAGCTCATTAATCTACAAGATTTCCCACCACAGTGGATGAGAAAGGCATAAAGCAAGACTAAAGTACAGTTTATCAGCAACATACGGGTATCACCATTTTCTTGATTGCAATCAACTAAAATTCACATGTATGGATGATTACATGTACGTCCCCCCCCCCCCCCCCCCAACATCAAACTCTGGCTACGTGCCTGCTTATAGGAGTCACTGAAAAGTGTTGTACCCTCTTTTTAATAAATTGTTTTCCAAAGCTTTTTTTTTCCTTATTGTTACTTCGACGTTTGTTTATGCATTTTATGTTTTCTAACGAACTTCCGATTCCAGTCCTTTTTAAACAGCATTTTTTTTTTGCCCTAGAAAATTAAAAAAAATTGCACCCCCCCCCCCTCCTTGAGCGCCAGGGGGGGGGGGCATCTCCCCAAAAAGGTAAAATTAACGTTAAAAAATGTAAAAATACACATTTTTCCCCAGGGGGGGGGGGGGGCTGGATCTGCCACTGCATTCTCCCACCCTGCGACCGCTGCCCAAGAATAATGTGTGCATTTTTCAGATTTATATTTTCAATTTATTTATTTGACGACACCTTAACTAAAGCCGTCTGACAATTTTTGTGAAACTTGAAAGGAAAGACAGATTCTTGATCTCCGCTATGGCTGTTGCTGCAAATAAATCCGTTTTATTTGTTTGTCTCGGTGAGTATATATTCGTTTCCCTGAAAAATAGTCTCGCTAGTTATTAATAGGTCAATTTCGACCACATTTTACAGGTGCAGTAACGTTTGCCACTATTCTCTTACCTTAGCCCCACTAACCTAATCTTTTGTAAGTCCTGAACTTCGTATTCATTGTGTGCATTTAATAGTGTGCAATTGTACGCAATGTGTGTATCGTGTGCAATTGCTGCCTCTCAGCACGTATACAGCGCTAGAGTAGAGGTCAATACGCATTAGCATTGTCTCTATGCTTTGCTGGAGTGGGTTAAATCATTCATAGGCCTACCATTTTGGTAATAGACCTAGAAATCTATGATTTTAAAAGTAAAATGGATAGAAATTTTGTAAACTTAGATCTAGCCTACTTTTAATAGGGAGGCCAATGTCCGGGCATAAGGATTCTACACCTACGATTTGTGCGCTCGCCGTCCACTTAAAAAAATTAGCAGAGAGAAAAAAATGATGTAAAAATAAAAATTGATGAAAATAAGAAAAGAAAATAGACCTACAATGATACATTTCACAACATAGATCTACCTATAATCACGGATCTGTAACTGTCTTTCACCATTTGTTGACGATCTTGCAGATTTTGACGTATTTGTATCCAATGATTTTCGTAGCAGAAGAACATGGCGAGCGCGCACCACCGACTAAGAAAATCCTTGAGGGCGTACAGGTTTGCTCACTAAAAACCTTCTCATTGGCAGAAGGTAGACCCTAAAAATATGGGATCCGTTTTGAGTAAAGAACTTTTGATAGAGATCAACATTTCAGATGTTCACAATTGTCACTTCTAACCACTAGAAAATATAAAGAAAAAAGATTATATTTTTTTAAATACAGATTGTTACAAACTGAACATTTACCTTTACCTTTACCCGAGATTCTGGAAGAATGCTGTGTTCTCAGCAGTCGGGCTTCCAGTTCAATTTCATTTTCTTCCTTCTCGTAGTTGGGTGTCTTCTTGGTAAGTGTCTGGCTCAGTTCTGCGTGGGGTATTCTACTCATATGGGGAGCAGAAACGCTTGTCCTTCCATACTCGATCCAGTCTGGCTTTAAAGGCATTCACCGTGGTAGCAGTGACTACCTCTTCAGGAAGTGTGTTCCAGTCATTGATGACACGTTGGCTGAATGCATCCTGTCTAATCTTCGTTGAGCATCTTTGTTTTACGATCTTTAGACTGTGGCCTCTTGTGTTGTGTTGTCTTGTGTTGTGTTGTGAAGGTAGATAGAGTATGATGTTTATGTCAATCTTGCGTTGGTTTGAGCCCCATAGCTACAGCCATCTCAAAATGAGAAGAAAAACAGTGAACAGTGATCTCATTGTTCTAGCCAAATACGGAGGTCTTGCGACATCATAATATGAATATGTATGAGCTCCGGTCATATCGCGCGCCAGACAAATCTCTCGTAGTCTCACACACAGTACCTTAATCTCACAGCACTATAGACTCGAGTGTCGAGCTCGTGCAGTAAATCATGCATGAGAAATGTTTAAAAAAAAGATATTTCAGTAAAAAATGTCTACGTGAGCAGTCTATACTCCCAATTGAGAAGTTCGGTTGAAAAGACATGATTGGATGATGTGTTGTCAAGTATAGCCGGTCGAAGAAGGAGAGAGAGAGAGAGAGAGAGAGATATCCAGGTAGCTAGGGTAGGGTACGTATGCGAGGTATAATTATATAATATTGACTGGCCTTGAGGGGTATATCAGAAATATTGACCAAGCTCAGATCATATTGCCCCGAGTCGAAAGACGAGGGCAATATGGTCTTAGCGCGGTCAATATTTCTGATATCCCCCGAAAGTAAAGCCAGTCAATATTTTTATTGTTATCCAAATCAGACATCTAGAGCAAATACAGACATCCACCATGACAATCTCAAGAACTGAACAAACTTTGTCAAACCAACACTGTGCATCCAGTGCTTGACAAAATTTTCGATACACTGCAAACAGTGTGTATTTGGTGTGATTATTACGTCACAATAGAGTGCGCGCAAAGTGCGCAGGTTCTCGTACGCATAATATTAATAGATGCGCAATGAAAATGCGAGACCGTGGAAAATACCAAGGTATATTTTCACTCGTCTCTACACGCAAAGTCAATACGCGCAGGGAGACCAAGGAAAATACAAAGAATATACCCCTCCGTTCCCACTGCTAGTGAAAACTAGGGCAATACGGTTTTGTAAATGACCAGCTCAGATGTCTGATACGGGTAATAATGCATATTATTCCGGGGATTAAATAATGTGTTGTGCATTGTGCTGATTTTCGAGGTCGTTCTTGTTGGTTGTACAGTAGATCTCCGACTGAAATCATAAGGAATACTCATGAGGAAATCAAGTTATTGGAATACACAACTAAGGTAAATATCAATGAATTATATCTATTTCTTTCCTGCCAATTTTGATATCTCTTCTTCATTTTTGAACCATCGCCTTCGGCTCGTAGTAGTAGAAGATGTAATCGTTCGCACATGGATTTCAGCCTGCATCAAGGCTTGCCTGTGTCGGTGTGTACGTGTGCGACCGATTCAAGGCTAGCCGCTGTTGAGTGATTGTACTTTCGCGCGAAGTTTTAAACTTCATCATGAACTTTGTCCGGACAATGACACGCCCATTCCCTCGGGCCTGTCTAATTATGAACGTAATTTTGCGACATGAAATATAATTGTTTCAAGGCTCTTATGTACGGATAGGCGTAGAAGGAAATGCCTTCAAAAGAGCTGGATATCTCCTATTTTATGGAACTTATGGAGTCGGCAGATGGTTGAGTTGTCTTAGTGAAATAAAATGCTTTCTTTTAATCTTTGTTTTATTATAAACAAATTAGTAATTAAAAAGTTGGATTTGGGCATTGGCCTCCCTACTTTTAAAGCTGTTCCCCCCCCCCCTCCTCTTTTTTATATAGCTCCCTTCTCCTGATATTGGCAAAAACCAAAATGCGTGCGTCGTGGATACTCTACCAGTGATGTCATTAAAGGCAGTTGCGCATTATCCGGCAGGTGGCTGTCTATCTCGCATGTGCAGATAGCCTGTCGTCGTTAATTCTTGTCTCCTGCCGCTGACCTGTATTAACAACCGATCGCAAAGATTTAATAAATGCGATGTAGGCTAATCGGGCGTTGGGGTCTCCCTTCATTTTGAAAAAAGTCATAAAATTAGAAAATGGCTGGACATGGCTGAATACGGTTGACCCAATCAGTAAAAGTAGGCTCAAATATCTGCAAAACAAAGTAAATTTTCGCCAACGAAACTTGTAAGTTCCATTCGTTACTTATTTGTAATCATGCAGCATTGATTCATTAAATTGTTTATTTTTCTTATTTTCACCAGGGGGGTGATTCAAAGTCGAACCTATCTCTAAGTTGGACTTAAATATTATGGAGAGCCATTTGTAGCCTTTAACTCGTATCCTGCCATGAGACTGCTAGCGCGCTATTGTTATAGTGCTCTGTGCACGCGAGCGCGCTATTGTTATAGTGCTCTGTGCACGCGAGCGCGCTATCTATTGAATGCCATGTTCATGTTAGCGAGCCACCGCTACTCTGCTTTGTGCACGCAAGGGCGCATATGTAATAACAGTCATTGTTCATGGCCATTGCACCGTGCTGAGTGCTTTTGCAGCGCTATTGAAAGTACCATTGCGTGCATCAGATTATCGGCTTTGGATTACGCGTCTTTGTATTCAACAGTCAGATTGGATTTTCTCGAGTAATTTAGTGATTTGTTTTTTGAGAAGATTTAAATAACACGCGCTTGAACCAACCTTAAAATTAACTTGGCACACAGGAGATTTGTGGCTGGCACAATAGGGATTAGCACTTTGGCACTGGGTGCATTGTATGGGTGGCAGCTTAAGAGTTAAATGAAATATATTCAAAAGCAAAAATTTAAGTAGGCCTACTTACTTAGGACTTTTCATAAATTCCACATCAAGAACATGACATCTCCCATATGATAACAGAAAATATGAATGATTTGAATCAAATGTTATGCCTTTTAAAATAACTTTAACAAAATATTTTTAAAGATGCTAACAGCTTTCCATAATTATTTAGTCCAACTTAGAGATAAGTTTGACTTAGGATCTTTGTGAAACACCCCCCCCCCCCAGGTAACATCTGCCGATCTGTGACAAGCGAGGCCCTCTTCAGGCAGCTGGCGGAAGAGAAGGGTTTCGCCTCGGACTGGAAGATCGACAGTGCAGCGACCTCGACGTACCAGATCGGAGATGAACCAGACTCAAGGACAAACCAGACTTTGGAGAAAATGGGACGCAAACGAAGCAAACATATTGCTAGACAGGTATTAGTTTCCTGAGAAAAAAAATAAGATGTTCCTAACCCCCCTCCCCCCTCCCCCCCCCTCCCCCCCCCCCCCTCCCTCCTAAAAAAATAAAATAATAATATATAAAATGATATTATAAGTTTTAAAATCCTTAAATTGGCAACACATTGAGAGGTTCAAAATTATTGTTATAATTTTTTTTTTTTTTAAATCAACTTGGCCACTTTTTCAATTTTTCATCAGTATTTACCCATGGCATGCATATGGTTTTCATAGAAGTTACACTTTATTAGAGCAGTGTAGCATTACAAGAAAGATGCCTTGTTGCCAATTCTCGCTACCCTAAATAGGTACGAAAATCTCAAAATTCGCGAGACGAGGTAATTTTCACTCTCTCGGGTCGTCACTACAACTTCCGGTATAGAGTCCCATCCCAAGTCACGGCCTTCATCCACCCCCATTTTTCAGGGTTCTTACGCTTGGAATCATGAGCCCAGCACTGTGCAGCCTCACAAAAGAAAACCATCGTCATTGATGTCAAAAGACGCAAAAAACAACGAATGAAATGTTCAAATAAACGTTGAAATATTTGCGAAAAAAAAACAAGACCGAGCAGACGACATATTCGGTGCATACACGTTGTGTGGCGACGGCGTTTTACGTTTGCGCTATCGCGCGCCTGCACAGGAAGCTGTAATGTCGAAAAGCTATCCCATAATGCAATGCGCGTTTTCAGGATTTTCCCCGGATCTCGGCAGAATCGCTATTTGGGGTAGCGAGAATTAAAAGAACAAAATGTGATGAACTTAGCCCTTCAATGTTTTTATTTTATCCCATTTGATAACTAGTTCCTGTGCCTTTTAAATAATGTTTTTAATGCCATTTTTGTGGTTTTGCTTTTGTTTTGTCTTTGTTTGTTTCATATACACATACACATTGATTTTTTTTGTAATGGGGGTTGTCATTAATAGGCCATTTACAAATCCCACTGTATTTGAATTTTGTGTGTGTTTTATACTTGTTCTTTTCTCTTTTATTGCTCTTTTTGCAAAGCTTCTGCTGAACTTTGGAACAAACTACCTTTTACCTGCAAAAACTGTCAGACTGTCAACCAATTCAAAATTGCTTTTGATGATTAACTTACTCTGTTCACATTGATGTATATTTCATATGTATTGTAACTTGTAGGTTTATTTGTCAATTATTGTTTTGTTTGATATGTAATTGTTTATCATTGTATTACGTTTGTTATATAGCTTAGGGACTTTGATGAAAAGTGCTTTAAAGTGCTTTATAAGCACCATTTTTATTATTATTATATGGTCTATTCATTCAAATCAAATGTGAAAATAAAATGAATTGAATTGAATTGAATTAGAAGAATCACTGTCCTGTAAAGGTTTAAAAATAAGGTTGTAATGTAGACTTTTCACTGTGAACATGACGGACAAAGGGTATGTTTATGCTCAACTTTTTCTGGCCAGAATCAGGCATCTGTTACACATCTGTTTAGTTCATAACACGGTTGCGTCCTTTCTCACTTTTGTAGAATCACCGAAAAATCGCGATCATGATCGCCGATCGTAAACTCACAAAAAGGTGCGTTTACAATTTGTAAACACGTTTAAATCAGTGGGGTCAACGCACTGACCTTTAGGGGGTCTACGTAGCATGCACAGTGCAGGTTTGCGAATCCAGCTGCAAGTCCAATTATGGCCACCCAGCGAGAATTGCCTGGAGAGGCCAGAGAAGTCAGCATAAACAGTACACCGTGGAACTGCGATTACGATGAGCGTTTAGGATGTGCATTTCAAATAGCTCATTCTGCCTTCAAAATTGAGCTTAAACGCACTCAAAGAAACAGGACAAAATATACAGTTCCTCATTCTACCCTCAACAATTGCTGTTGGTAGACAAAGGAACATTCCTTCACTGCTATTATGTAAAATAAGTAGAACAGGTGAATATGCATGTGACACCTGTTCTACGCATTTTTACATAATAGCAGTGAGGGGATGTTCCTTTGTCTAACACAACATTTTTTTAGGGTAGAATGAGGAACTGTATATTTTGTCCTCTTTCTTTGTCCGTCATGTTCATAGTGTGTACTTCTCAGGAGACAACATGTTTAACTTTTCTCTTACCGGTATTTTCTTTAATACAGATCACCAAGCAAGATTTCAAAGATTTTCAGTACATATTTGGGTTCGATCAAAGCAACATAAGGTATGTTTAACCATTTTAGTTATGATAATAATATACTTTTATATGTCTTTTGGCAAGGCAGGGCTCAAATTAATCCAAGGCCACCAAGGCCATGGACGTGGATGCCCTTTTGTTTGGCCTCAATGCCCCTCTCATTGGCCTTGGAGATTTTTTGTGCCCTTTCCAATTCTCCCTATTTGTGCTGTAATATAGGAATGTACCCTACAGAAAAGTGGCCTTGCCCTAAAAATATTGAAATGTAAGGCCTGGCAAGGCATTAATCTACATTTGCTACTCCATACCCAGGAGAGAAATGAAGACCTGGTAGGATGACAAAAGCCTTTGTGTTAGTCATTGCCATATGCCCTCACAGTGACCATATAGCAAGAATGCTCCTCTGGGAGTGGAGATGGTGCACATTGTGCATGAATGAATATGAATCCAATGACTGGGGTATTAGTATCCTGAAAGCTCTAAGAGATAGTATTTCTTATTAAGCGCTATATAAATCCAGATTATTATTATTTCCTAATTTCTAACGGTAAATTATTGCACATTTTTGGGCCTGCGCATGCTAGTGCTCGATCTCCCGATGTCTTTTTTGTTTAATGTGATAGGATTGCAATAATAGAGTATCTTGGGTGCTTCGCAGGTTGTGGGTATGTTTGTTGAGAATTGATTTTAACAGACCCACAACATAACTTGGGGCTTTACCGATTGGCGCTTTATAGACAATCAACAGTACGTGCCTCTTAAAAAGCGATTAGCTGGAATGCTCACCAGAGAGTGGAGAATGTCTACTATAATGTGCAGAAAAGTAATTGAATCCAGTGGCTGGATTGATGATGATAATGAAGTCTTTTTGGTCATTTAGTGGTAACGCACCATGAAATTATATTATCATATATAAGATATTATTATTATCAGTTTTTTGTTTTGTACCTCGCTTTTCAGCAATATTAACAGAGTGAAACCAAAAGACAGCAAGTCACAAGTTCTCTTAATGGGAAAATATGGAAAGAACGGGGATGAAATCGTTGAAGACCCTTACTATGTAAGTATTTCTATGTAAACTACAGTCAATCCTGTCTTTAGTGGCTATCTCTCTACCAAGGCCACTTGTCCATAGTGGTCATCAGCGCTCAAAATACACGGGGGCGGTGGGCGTTTCGCCCCTGTGAGCTACATAATCGCCCCCGTCAGGTTGCTCATGGGGGCAATTGCAAAATTAAAAGTCGCCCCCGTGGAATTATAAAATACAGATTATCTTTTCTGTTATAACTTTAACACAATATTGAGTTTCAATTTTCAAACCTTAAACCAATGAAATGGAACTAAGATTAGCATGCAAGATTTCTCGTTTTATGAGTAGGCCTATTATTACCGATTCAGCTCGCAGTGCAGTGCCGCCGTCAGCAGTGGTTATAGGCCTACTGCGCCGTTAGTAGTGGTGCGTGTGCACGCTGCCGCGCCATGTCTGCTGGAGCTGGAGGCGATCGCGCAAGGGCAGAAACATGGTCATGAATCACAATCATTATTTGTCGCTTAATGACCTTGTTTTCTTTTTCGTTTGCAAGGGGAGAAGAAGATATGTCACGTTAAAGACATCATAAAGATCAGTGTTGTATGCGTATATATTATATACACAGGCCAGTAACAGCTATGTAGCTTGTAAATTTGTAAGAGGGAAAATGCTGATTGAAATGATAATGAAAAAATAGCAAATAATTGAGGAGTATCATAGGTACCAATTCAATGGATATTTGTATAAAAAGAGCCCCCGTGAGAAGGCTCACGGGGGCTCTTTTTTTTGGGGGGGGGGGGGAAGAGCCCCGTGGACAAACAATTAATTTGAGCCCATGTGGATATCTATAGCTGTGGTAATGAACAGGTTTTAGGTCGTATTTGGAATAGCTTTTTTGCAAATTTTCGTGCTATAACTGTAGCAGACAAATTTGGTTAGCAAGAAAACAAGGCGTCCACCTTGTGCGTTCACAATGAATGTGCATTGTTACAAAATTCATTTTCGTCCAGTAAGCAGCGTAAGGTTAATCCACTTTCGTGTGCTTACGGTTAGCAGTGCTATGAAGTAGAAACTCATACATAAGCACAGAACCAGCCGATAAGCAGCTATATACAATTTTGCCCTGGATAGTAAAGTGGTTGTACACGGGTCTTTTTATTAATTTAAAAATAATGATCCCTTAAGTGTCAAAATAGAGGCAAAGTTTATTTAAAAAAAAAATATATATCACTTTTTTGACCTAATATGACCTTGAACTTGACCTTATTGCAAATCCCTGAGTTCTGGCGATCTCTTAGTATTACGTAATGAATTGGCATCCCCAAGTTAGTTTGAAATAACACCTTAAACGTTTTTCTAGACTATTTGGTTCAAGTTCACGTTTGTACATTAGACCATGCGGACTGGCTGCCATTTTAGATATGACCTCTCAGGGTCATCAGAGGTCACATCAAACTGTGAAATAAACTAACTGAAAAGGATTAAGGTGGAGGACTCGGCAGGGGAACCATTCCTTAATAAATTTAAGAATATAGGGGAGAACAAATGACATATAATGGGGATTTAACCTTTTGTAACCATTCAAAACTTGCTATTTTTAGTCAATTTTGACCTTGACCTTGACCTTAATGCAACACCCTGAGTTATGGCGATCGTGAAAGTATTACCACATGAATTGGCATCCCCAATTTAGTTGGAAATGACACCTTAAACGTTTTTCTGGACTATTTGGTTCAAAAGTTACCACGTTTGTACATAATTAGCCCATGCGGACTGGCGGCCATTTTGGATTTGACCTCTCAGGGTCATCAGAGGTCAAATCAAACTGTGAAATAAACTACCTGAAAAAGATTAAGGTGGCGGACTATGCAGGTGAACCATTCCTAAATAAATTTGAGAACAAATGACAAATAAATGCGATTTAACCTTTTGTAACTACTCAAAACTTGCTATTTTTAGTCAATTTTGACCTTGACCTTGACCTTGACCTAAATGCAAAACCCTGAGTTCAGGTGATCTCAAAAGTATTACCAAATGAATTGGCATCCCTAAGTTAGTTGGAAATGACACCTTAAACGTTTTTCTGGTGTATTTGGTTCAAAAGTTAAGCGTGTTTGTACATTAGACCATGCAGACTAGCGGCCATTTTGGATTTGACCTCTCAGGGTCATCAGAGGTCAAATCTGACTTCCCTCCACATCTGAAAATAAATCTTATGGTGAAAGCAAACTATGCTGGAAGTTTCATGCTTTTCTCAAAAAGTGCACAATTTTCTTGCTAAGCCGCTGCACTACTACGACTATTACTTCTACTAATTCCTTCTACTTCTACTACTATTACTTCTTTTAATTACTTCTACTAACCCTACTACTACTACTTCTACTACTACTACTAATACTACTACTACTACTACCTCTACTACTTCTACTACTACTACTACTTCTACTAATTACTTGTACTACTACTACTACTACTACTACTACTACTTCTACTACTACTACTACCACTACTACTACTACTACTACTACCACTACTTCTACTACTATTACTTCTACTAATTACTTCTACTACTACTACTACTACTACTACTACTTCTACTACTACTACTACCACTACTACTACTACCACTACTTCTACTACCTCTACTACTTCTACTACTACTTCTACTACCTCTACTACTTCTACTACTACTACCTCTACTAATTCTACTATTACTTCTACTACTACTACTACTACTACTACTACTACTACTACTAATTCTACTATTACTTCTTTTACTACTACTACTACTACTACTATTACTTCTACTACTACTACTACCTCTACTACTTCTACTACTACTACCTCTACTAATTCTACTATTACTTCTACTACTACTACTACTACTACTACTACTACTACTACTAATTCTACTATTACTTCTTTTACTACTACTACTACTACTACTATTACTTCTACTACTACTACTACTACTACGATATAGCTCAAGTCCAACTAATAAGTCAATGTTAGTCTTTGTGAAACAATCCCCAGTATTGAATTTGGTTTCTTATTTTATGTTTCTTTTTTTTCTTATTCCTTTCCTATTTACAGCATGATATGGCAGCTTTCGACACGATGTACGAGCAATGCGATCGATGCGTACGAGCTTTCATCGCAGAGGTTGAACCAGGCAAATAATTGAATAACAGCTTTTCTTCACTGACCTGGAGGGCGTTTCACAAAACTTGTCATCAGTGACCAATGACAGTGTTTGTTATAAGCTACTAAAATCCTTGCTTCTGATTGGTTATCAGCAGATTTGTCACTGATTTCTGTTATTTGTCATTGAAAAAAGGTTTTGTGAAATGCCCCCCTGATCCATCTGACACCTCTATGTTCCTCAGATGCCCTAATTTTTGCCATTCTGAGTCTCTTCGACATTTCATGGTGCCCCTAGCCGAAGGACGCAAGCTCATTGCACAGTTCTGCCTAAAGTCATTGTTTAACAATGTTAAATCTGAGATGCATGGCCCTACGACTATGTTATCAGTGTCTGTGATATGGTGTAATATTGTAGCCTTAAAAAATTGCACTAAAAATTATCATAAAGTGCCTCAAAAGAGTACAAACCTCTGAGTGACTGGTTTCACCATACTCATTTTCCCTAATAGACTGTAATGTAATAAAAAAGTTTTTTTTTTTTTTTTTTTTTCAATTTCGATTTCCAATCATAAATATATTTGTAATCAGACAGGTGATCGGCTTCTAAAAGTCAGGGGATTCCTGACTAACCTAAAGGTTTCTAATTATGATTGCAGCATGAGCTAGATCCAGGATTTTGTTTCAGGCAAAGATACCCATCCCTTTAAACGGGGACACACGCTATTGCGATCGTGTTGAAAATAGAAATGACAAATGGATATCATGGAGACATGAGTTTTTGTTTATCTCATATTCATTACAGAAATATGGTATCTTAGGGGATTATGGGCTTGATACGAGGGTCTTTTTTTATAAAACCTGTTATCAATAACCTTTTCGAATAAATGTTATAAACTACTGAAATAGTGGCATTTGATTGGCTGAGAGCAAATTTTTCATAGTAATTGAGCATTTGCTATTGATAACAAATTTTGTGACACAGGGCCAGGAGTACCTCAACCCATTTACCTTTATTGAAGACTTATGGTATTTCTAGGTAATAATGAGCTTTACACCTGGGCCTGGTTTCATCAAACATGTCATCAAAAAGTAATGCTAAATTTATATGACAAATTGGCTCTCAGCCAATCAAATGCCACAATTTCAGTAGCTTATAACAGTTATTATTACTTGTTATTGATAACAAGGTTTGTGACACAGGGCCCAGGTGCTCCATAAATCAGTGGAGTATCTCTACATATTTACCTTTATTGAAGACTTGTGGTATTTCTAGGTAATAATGAGCTTTACATCTGGGCCTGGTTTCATCAAACATGTCATCAGGAAGACGTGCTAAATGTTTATGACAAATTTGCTCTTGGCCAATCAAATGCCACGATTTCAGTATAACAGTTATAGTTACTTATTATTGATAAAGAGGTTTGTGACACAGGGCCCAGGTGCTCCATAAATCAGTGGAGTACCTTAACCCATCTACCTTTATTGAAGACTTATTTCTAGGTGACAGTGAGCTTTACACTTGGGCCTGGTTTCATCAAACATGTCATCAAAAAGTAATGCTAAATTTATATTACAAATTGGCTCTCGGCCAATCAAATGCCACGATTTCAGTAGCTTATAACAGTTATTATTACTTGTTATTGATAACAAGGTTTGTGACACAGGGCCCTGCTGCTCCATAAATTAGTTGAGTATCTCTACCTATTTACATGTGAACTAAAGTTTAGGAAGGGGCTTTGATGACAGTGCCGATGGATTCAACCGCATTTTCACAATGCATTTGTGAATGCTATGGAAACGAGAGAAAATAATTATGCAAATAAGTTTAAAGGGATAGTTGAGTTCTGTTTTCAGACCGGAAATACCTTCAAAGTGCATGGTTATTGCTCTTATTCTTATCTATGACATTTATAGTGCCCTTTTAGAACCTAAAATTGCTATGAAGGTAATTTTAGACCCCAAAATGTGTGAAATTTAGCCAATACGATCATACCAGTTCAGCTTTACTTTCAAAAAAACATGGTGACCGCATTTTCACAATGCATTTGTGAATGCCATGAAAACGAGAGAAAATAATCATGCAATTAAATAAATTTCAAGTTTGTTGCCCTCTGTATTTCTTAATGTGAGTTTGTTTCATTTCAACAATCTGATTCAAGAAATGAAGTACAGTATATTCAATAATTAAAAGCAAATTATGAGATTTCTTGAACTATTGTTGCATTTTATGTCAAATTAATTACATGCGTGAGAGTTTATTTTATTTTGACAATTTGATTCATTAAGTGAAGTGTAATGAATAAATACAAGTCAATTAAGAGAAATTTCATGAAATTTGTTGCATTTTATGTTCTATTTACCTGTCTTGGGCAGACTCCAGTGTCTCCAGAATAAGTGTGCTTAACTAATTTTTCAAAAAACATGAAATGCTCCTATGCTAGCCCATTGTGAAATAAACTACACTGGTTACCAGTTGCGGACAGAATTCAATACCGGGTACTTGTACAAACTTTTAAAGGCATCGTTTAACAATATATGTTAAACCTGAGATGCATAAGGCCCTACGTGTTACCAGTGTCTGTGATATGGTGTAATATTGAAGCCCTCAAAAAATTGCGCTTCAAACTGATCACAAAGTCCCTCAAAAAAGTAAAAATCTTTGAGTGACCGGTTTTGCCATACTCATTTCCCCTCATGGACAGTCGTGTTATAAAAACCATTAGGAAAACGCAAAATGAAATTTCGATTTCCGATCATAAATATATTGATAATCAGACGGGCAATCGGCTTGTAAAAGTCATGGGGTTCCTGACTGACCTAAAGGTTTATAATTATCATTGCAGCATGAGTTAATCAAATCCAGGATTTTGTTTCAGAATCTGAGACAAAGTTACCCAATCCCTAAAGCTATTTCAACCACTCTTCCCCAAAGAATCTCCTCTTTGAGCAGGGACCCGTTTCACAAAGCCTTTTTTCAATGACAAATGACAAATATCAGTGACAAATCTGCTGATAACCAATCAGAAGCAAGGATTTCAGTAGCTTGTAACAACAACTGTCATTTGTCACTGGTGAAACACCCCCAGGAGAGGACGTCAGTGATACAAAGACGTAACTCCATTTTAGCCATTTTGAGAAAAAGTGGTTGATGTGTCACTGAACACTTGGGCTTTAAAGGGATCGTTTAACAATGTTAAATATGAGATGCACGGCCCTACGTATTATCAGTGTCTGTGATATGGTGTTTTATTGAAGCCCTAAAAAAATCGTGCTTCAAAATGATCAAGAAGTGCCTCAAAAAAGTAAAAGCCTTAGTGACCAGTTTTACCCTACTCGTTTTCCCCAATAGACTGTATAATGTTATGAAAACCGTTTGTTCCTGACTGACCTAAACGTTTATAATTTTCATTGCAGCATATGAGCTAAATCAAGGATTTTTTTAAGGATTTAAGACAAAGTTACCGGATCCCTTTAAGGATCGAGTTAAGTCTATCAGTGTTTCACTAGTCATTGACTTTAACGAGGTGTTGGGTGGTATTAAGTATTTGTGTTTCTTGGAAAGCCCACATTTTTCTGAACATTTTGATATCAAATACTCATTTTTGCAATATATGGAGTACGTCTTTGTGTCACTGAACCCTCGATAATTGATCGGGGGTCAAGGATCACATTTTGTCTGCACTTTCTCATATCAGATAAACAAAACAAAACAGTGCATTGCCAAAATCGGTACAAAAATAATGTTGCAATTCTTAAATGATGTACATACTTCTTTAGTGAACATAATATACATTGCATCATTACAAAAAAAATGTACAAAATAATCATTCTTAATTGCATAATGATTTGAGAAAAGGTGAGGAGCCTATGAATGAAGCAAAGCTTGTAAAGCTATTAGTCCCCTTTAAGGAAAACGTCAAATTTGTATTCAAGAATGCCGGGAAAAAAGGGGGAAAACGAGTTTAGTACAGGGCAGAGAGGGAAAGTGAACCGAATAGAATAGATGAGAAAAAAGGAAGAAGGAAGGTGAAAGAACAGGGACCCGTTTCACAAAACCTTTTTTCAATGACAAATGACAAATATCAGTGACAAATCTGTTGATAACCAATCAGAAGCAAGGATTTCAGTAGCTTATAACAACAACTGTCATTTGTCTCTGATGACAGGTTTTGTGAAACACCAGCCCCCATAGAAGAAGTAGTTGGAAGAGAGAGCGAGCTAGAGGTGAAAAAGGAGAGAATTACGGTCTGGAATCATCTAAATGATAAGTAATTTGGCCCAGTCTTGGTCAAAGTAACAAGCACTGTTCACAGAAAGATGTATATTGGACTACACAAACATGTGGCATAAAAATGTGGTCCTCATTTTTAAGAGTCACATGTCATATTTTAATAGAATAAGAAGGTATTTGAAAAGCCATGCTTTTCAGGGAACATTTTATCTCTGATGTTCTTCCACACTTCCACATAATAACAATAAAAACGTTCACAATTTCCCTTTTTACTTCTCCCCAGAATTCAATGAACCTTCTCTTTATAAATATATGCATACATTTGGTTGGATTTCGCAAATGGCTTAAGTAGAATTCTACCTCCTTAAACCTGAATGATGAATGACATGTTCACCGTCATCTTCTACTACTTCTACTACTATTACTAATACTAATACTACTGCTACTACTTCTACTCCTGCTATTCTACTTCTACTACTTCTACTACTTCTACTTCTACTACTAATAGTACTACTACTACTACTGCTGCTGCTACTACTGCTACTACTGCTTCCACTACTTCTACTTCAAAATTCAAATGCATGTTTATATGCAAGATTATTCTGCCTGTCTTCTACTCAGTCTACATCGATTTGTAGTACAATTGAATGTTCAATCCTTAAATAATTCATGCCTATTGTCAAAGTCCCTTTGAAATTTTCCAACCACAAGCATCTTAACAGTCGCACATTTGTTCCTGCAGACACATGATGACCCCCAAACTTCCCTATTGTCTCATTGATCGATGAGGGCAGTCCAGCCAGTGCTCATTCAAGATGAGCAGAGTCTATAGCGAAAAAACTATAGCGATCAATAAAACCAATTTCTCCCCAAGTCTATCTCTATCTCGCTACATTACGTTCTACGCCTTT